AAAATCATCAAGTTTTATCCCCGCGAAAGGGAAGCTAGTTCAATGTGCAATGTTTCTTTTAATTGTTTCAGGCTTATTTGCTGGTTGTTGGTTCCTTTGTGCATAATAACTAAAGGCTTCCTTTATCAGTTGATTTGATCTTCATGTCGAGTTCCACTGGAATATTTCTTCAGGCAATGTTCTGTCTCACCTTCACACGGGCGTTCACATTTATGCCCGGCTTAAGCCACCAATCAGATTCAAATTCACGATTACATATCTCTCAACAACCTTTCTTGGTTGGAAATTTAACATTCTGGTAAGAATCTTTTTTCTCGTTAGGTTCATGAAGAATGCAAGTCGTCTCCCTCTAATTATCTTACAGGGATGCAAATCGTTAAATCTTTTAAATCCGTTTTTCAGTCGCCTGAATAGTGCTGAAAATCACTTTTGAAATTTGATAGCATTTTTACCCCGACCTAGGACCAAAAAGTCTCTTTCCAACGCTTGAATTTACAAGCAAACTGAACAAGAAGGATCTCTATTCAACTTTTACTTGCCCTTCATTTTCAACCAGTTAGAGCTATTCGTTCAGAGTCGGTCAAGCACCTGGTTTTACGTACTTTTGGTATGAATTTCGCTTGAATTTTTAGGACCGATGTTTTGATAATTGCATCTAGGCACCTTAACTAAACAAACCATAATGTATGTTTCAAAAGCACTCGTATGGCCTATGGGACGTATTCTTTAGTTTGCATGAGCCACATCAAAAGTCTTCACCTGATTCGTCGTTCTTTGATTGACATCTTCTTTAGACCAATCGGTTTTGGTATTTCCTTTCTTGCAATTGACACGTGTCAGCAGCTTCAAACTTCGTCAGAACTTCATTAACAGAAATCTTCAATATCGGCCATTTCTGAACAGCGGACAAATAATGTTGTCACGTAGTTCATTTCCTTCTGTCAGCACTTCCACACACCGGACACTTTTCGACAACGGACAGCAACCGTCACCGTTTTTGATATGTCCGTCATATTACGGTTTAAATGAAGGAGCAACCTCTCGACAACGGCTACCTCTTGATAAGGGAGAGAAATTATAAAGATCGGAGGATTCTGCTTAATGAGAGTCCATTTCATTTTCGCCCATGTCGTATTCCATTTGGTCTCTGATCGCTAGTATCTTAGAAATTTGGAATCTTGTTCCTTTTTATTACAACTTGGCTACTGTGCTCTCTTTCTACTACAAAGAAGTTGCCTGATGGGACTTTATAGATCGTGGTCTTTAAATATTTTGTATTCACGTCATTCTTAAACTGGTATGACTTTGGTAGACATAAGCAGCTCTGATGTCTGAGTCCATTAATCATCTAATGCTTCGTAATGAATTTAGTTGACTTGTCGCCTTCATATCTATCTTATAACTTCTAAGATATGTAAAGTGGAACATTTTACTTGGATTTCGTAAACGAATCATAAGAAACCCAATTAGCCAAAAGGAAATACTTTATAAAGGATATTTTCCAAGTGATAGTCTAATTCTCTTATCCTTTCGATTTGATATGAAGGCGGTGCTGAAATCGCATATGGCTACGTTTTCTTATACAGTTTCTTCAAGGCTAATAGAATTATTCAGTAAATGAGATTCTGCTTTGTAAATTTCCAGACCAAGTTAGTCGTTAAGTACATGTTAAGCACTGATCTTTATATAAGTAACTGTAATGGACTCTTGCTTCAAACCCAACTAATACAACTTTTGAAAACACTTGTAAACATTGGCGTTTGTAAAAAGATGTAGATATTATCCTGCAAGTTTTTGCTATTTGAAATTTTGAAAATTTTATCTCGTGACATTGGATTCTCGTCGTCGTATTGCTTTGTTCCTGTCTATCTTTCATAACAACACTCATTGCAAGATTCACAGAATCCGGTGTACAGCCTATCCTGCGGTTCTTCCTTCTTACACATTTCAACTTAATGTTTGCTGCCATGGTAAATTGAATAATGCATATCTAGTCCCGCTTTGGGGACGATAGAGACGTCACAAAACTTGAAGATTGCATTAAAGCTAATGTCATGACAATTTGAAACAAAATAGAAACCTTAATACAAGTTATAGAAAGAGAAAATCCTGTACTGATAAATACACCTTCGGTTGGCTCTGTTTTCTCAATTCAATATCTTTCACACCATTTAGAAGTTAGAAGACAAATTTAGAAAAATCATATCTGAACATCTAAATAAAGCAAAGTCAATTGAACGCAGCTTACGTAAAAGCAATCCATGTTAACCGATGTACAGTTGTTTAGTGATTGCATTATGCTTAGGCCTCGGAGTTGCTGCTAAGAACCGTCCTGTTCTACTCACTTGGGCGTGTATGGCTGCTCTATATGCAGCGTCAAACACACTGCTAAAAGTGATCTTCATAATCATAATGCCAGGTGCACGGTTCAAGATTATCATGTAGATATGACTTGCATCTTCTATCGATAATCTGAACAGCATTGTCCAGATAAACATTTGAACACTTCACAGTAGAATGTCATTATGTTTCAGAATCTTAACTCACACTGTCCCCATTCGAAGTTGGAGGGGAGGGGGTGTGTGAATATTTATTATAGGTAGAGGCATGGAACTGGGGACGAGGTGTAAAATCTCAAGACAAAATGTCCATTAAACACATATATATTTATGAAGGTGGAATATGGACTACACTTATTTTAAAAGACACATTATAGCGTTAAAAGACACATAGAAAAACATCACCACTAATGACCTCGTGCTTATTCTTGCAGTTTTCCTTTTCGAAATTTTGCAAGTGGATTTTGTAATAAAAGCATATCAAATATAAAGCGAGTCAGAAAATAATATTCCCTATGAAGTGTCTCGAGTTTCCCAAGAAAAGAATTTCTTGGGTTCATTAAACAATTTTTAGACTTTCTTATAACGGAGCTGAATCATTGTTTCCAGCATGTGTGATTACGAGGGTCATCTCAAATTTCGTGTATGTCGAAGTCCTGAAAACTACGCAGTAATTAAAGTAGTTATGAGATCTTTCTTAATGAAAGTAATTTTCTTTTGTGGAAATACTACAAATGTTTAAAAACAAAGTAGTTGTTTTCGATGCCAGCGACGTTCCTCAAACAGTACTGCGCTTAAGTATATGCAAATCTTCACAAATGACGATTTTGGTTGACGAAAGTTTCATTTCGTTTGCTGGTTGATCTTGTTTGAAACATTTAATTTCGACTGAAGTTTTGTAGAGAATGGTCTTATGCCCACGTCAATATTACAAAAGGCTGTTTGAGTTGGTGAAAGAGGATAACGAATCAAAGGCAATTTGCAGAAACAAGCTTACAAAAATAATCGATTTTTCCTAAAATAAAGTTAATGTACGGCAACCACATGAATGTAGAACCGCTTCGTCAATTAGAAGATGAGAATATGGTGGTTTAATGAATGTTTACGAATTTTAGGCCGATTTTCACGCATCTTTGGAATACTCCAAAGCAGTTGAAAGCCAGTTACTAGAAATATTCATGATATTTTTCAAAACACTGGATCTTGGCAAACAGAGAACATTTCGGGGTATTAATCCATTCTTTCATTAAAGTAACGCAATGGTCTACTTCTCAAAACGATTTCTTATTTAAAGCTGGAAAAGAAGAGGAATTTCATCAAATTTTAGACAGGTTCTTTTTGTGCGATTTGTATAAAACAATAAACAAAGTAAAATCGTTGTTTAATCTGTATCCCATTTGGAAGATTCAATTTTTTCTATTAAGTAACATAATTAATTGCCTATTAGGAATAAGAACTAAACCTAATAAGTGCAAAGAAGGAATTAACGAGTTTTAGAGAACAGATAACTTCGTTTGCTTGCTCCTCGCAAAGATATTTCCTGCCATAGATTTTAGGTAGTGCACAAGTTATCGTTACTTCCATAACTGAACTGCACGTTTTCATATGAACAAATTCAAACTACCTTTTCATTGAAATTTTGCGAAAACTTTTCATTATCTTTAGACTAGGCCGAGGTTTTGAGTTTGAAATTTTGCTCGGCATGAATTAGGCATGCAACTGACGACAACGAACAAGAAGACTAAGACCCCGTTTACACTACTGAAAAAAGAATTGAACTCTTTGGTTTCTTATTTGGGCACGATACCTCTTTTTTCATCGCTTCTACACTGTAGCAAAAAACAACGGAACCAATTTGAGCCCGTTTACACTTGAGTAAAAATAACGGAACTTTCATGCGAAACATGCGCAGTGGCGAGGCAATGACGTCTGACATTTTAAAAAAAACCTCGCTCGAGCCCTAAATTAAGCTCCGTTTTCAATCGTAACCAAAAAGTTCCGTTCCTGACCGTTGCACTAGAGAAACAAGCACAATTTGGGAACGGAACCAAAGAGTTTCGCATTTTAGCAAAACCAAAGAAGAAGGGAACCATTCCCAAACTAGCTCGGAACCAAGATGCCCAGTGTAAACGCAAGGCCTATCGTCGTTTTTTCAGGCACGGAACCAAAGAGTTCCGTTCCTTTCTCTGCAGTGTAAACGGGGTCTAAAGCATACTCCTTTTGTTTTGACCTCACCTTTATCATTTATCATTGTCTCGTTTTTATCTTGATGGACAAATGACATGCACTCTCTTTTTTATAAAGATACTATAAATATTTTCTTTTTTATAAGAATGCTATAAACTTTTTCTAAGTCTGATATAGTTTCAGGGGAACATCGCCCACCATCACATGGAGACCATGCTTTTTGAAAAAATGAGATTTGTCATTCATGCGATTCTCAATTGTAAAGGGAACTGCTGGAAATTAGACAAAAATATGTGGCCGAGGCTGAACAATATTCTTACAATATTCTTAAAACTTTTGAGCCTGATTATGCTTATAAGATTTATTCCTATAAAATTAAGAGTGTATGGAATACAAAGATTATCTTTGGTCAATGGATTCTGACTTTTATCAACTTTTTCTGCATACTCAGAAAACATACCTTTAATCTTGCAGGCTTCAAGCATTGTTCGTTCTGTGGCATTAGCATTCAAATCAGTGGGGAAACTTTTAAAAGAGAAGCGGGAAAGAATACTGCTAGCTGAGTCATCATCGTCCTCTGAAAGACTGCGGACTGAATCGGACGGTTCTCGGTATAGAGAGCGGAACCGGACCGAATCTGAGGGATCACGAGAAAAGCACCGGATAAATATCGGAGATGTACCAGCATCAAAGAAAAGACATTTGGCTCTACCAGGTGGAGCACGCAATAAGGCTGGAATTGTTGCATCGTCATTGGCGGGAACTCAGATCGAGGATACCGCTGATCCTGTGAACAGAAATGAGGTAGACTTTGAAATTGTTTGCAAAGAAAATGGGGGCTTCTTGCAACCCTTACTTTTTTGAAGTTTCCTTCTTTGAAAATATACCCTTTAGAGTTATTAAAGTCCTCTGTCAAGTTCCCGAGATCCGTTACTCTGGGTATGTGAATTTTGTCAAAAACCTGTGGTACAGTTTCCCTCTACGTAAAGTTTTTTGTCATCCTGCTTTCACAACTCAAAGGAGTTTCTGTCTAATATCAATTTAAGTGTGTTGCAAAGGCTTATTTTGAATACATCAATTCGATGTACAGCCTCGTTTTGGAAATTTCTCCAAACTTCATTATACGACCTTTTTTAAGCTCAAATTTGGTTTTATCGCCATGATTTTAGGCTGGGTACAATTTTTCATATTGTTTGTGCTTGTGTTTACGATTTTACGAAGAAATGAAGTTTCAAAACATGTAAGGGATTTGACCACAAAAATCATTCTGGGGAAGCTTTAACCCCCTATTCGTCAATCACTGTCAAATCCTTTATAAAATTTTTAGATTAATGTTATCATAAAATCAATATCGTGAGTAACACCATAATGTAAACTTCAAAGTAGACTAAAATATTTGCTCTCAATCCGAATCTGAGGTAAAAAAATGTGTACAAAATAATTTGAAGAATTTTTCAAAATGAGGCTGTAAGTTGAATCGGTGTGTTGTTCGTATTGAGAAAATGCTAACTGATTCTTTAGGAGTGTATTTAATAAAATCCGCATCCCTTTTTGGCAACGATGATATGACCTCCTTTTCAAAAGATAAATATTATTTACAATTTAAAGACTAACTTAAACACATATCCTAAAATACCTGAAAAAAAGCTGCCGAGATTTCCGGAAAATTTGCACTCCTAAAAGTATTTCAAGCTTGGTGCGGGAGTCGTGGCTACTTTAGAGAAGAGCAGGGAAGAGGAAAGGCAGAGAAGAAGCGGTGAAGCAACGGTTGAGTTCTTCATTGCCATTCTAATATTTTTCTAGCGATTACGCCAATTCTCTAAAACCATCAGCTTCTCTGAAACGTATCTATGTTCTGGCGAAAATATAAAAATTAAATGAAGGTTGTACATCTCTAAGGTTGAGGGTGATCAGTGGTATGGTTTCTAAATTTTTCGGTCATGTCTTAGCCGTCTGTTTTATATAAGAATGAGCGTAAAAGTTGCTTTTTCTTTAAAAACATCGACAGCAGTATAAATCTTCTTAAAGTTTTCTAATTCGGAATGATTTGTTTAAATCCTCAACACGTATGTATAAAGCCACCATTGTCTCGTTAATTCAAGTGCCATCATTTTGTTGTGTTCATTCGTGAGCTGGATCAAAGTTATGGCAACCACAAACAGAACTTCATTAGAGCTTCTCCATTTCTGATGCATAATTTATGAGGCCTCTTCTTTTATGATACTGCAATGTGTTTGAGTTACAGAATGGGAAGGTTTATTTCCGCTTATATTGTCCTAAACTTTGATCCAACTCATGTCTCTTCTGCACCCTAAAACCAGAGTTATGCACATTTTCTGAATTCAGAAAGACTGAGCATTTCAGGATTGAAGGATATGATTCATATATAAAAGACAAGACAGTATAAACAAAAACAAATTTGACTTTTTCTGGGTTAAAAATTTATGGGTGTTTCGGAGTTGAAAATGTACCTGATTCTGTCCCTACCTAGCATAAACTATGTGGTATTAAGCAAAGTGAAAAGTATTGAGGTTAAGTGCAATGAAAAAAAGAATCAAGGTTCTCCCAAAGAACAAAAACAATAATTACAAATTATCGTTTTTTGCATTAACCAAGGAGCTTCGCCAAGAAGATAAACGAACTTTAGTACGTCATCAAGTACTAACTGAATAGTGTAAACTAGACTTCGAACTGAAGTAGATTAGTGAGAGACAATATAAAAGAAAGAGTATTTGGTTTTTCTGCAGATTGTTACAGCATTAGTGCAACGGGATAACCTAGGCAAGCGTCAACAGTATGCAGAGAGTTCATCGAAAGAAAGTTTTGGCATTCGAGCGAACAGCACAGAAGTGTACTCTGATCGCGAAAAAGACAGTAGTGGCGAGGGAGAGGGGAGGGATGGTGCAGATGAACGAAGGGGCAGTGTTGCTTCGAGCAGAGAAAAGCATTACTGGGACGATGACATTAAAAGGTATCCATCTGCCTCATTCGTAATAACGATAATAAAGTTACTGATAACGGGTACATGCTCGAAACGTCGTGTTTTTCACAATCAAACTATTATATTTTTATTCTGGTACTAAATTTATTTGCTAACTATATTATCGTTATTCTGGATGAAGTACCACACGCAACGTACATATGTAATCGGACTCATTCGTAATGTCGTTTATTTTTATTCGTAATGGGGTACTGTATAAGGGGGGTGAAGGTGACATGGGGGACACGTATTGATGTAATGAAATGTAGTGCATTATTTTTCAATTCGATACTCACGTCAGGATATGTTTTGCACCTTATTAAACTGATGGAAAATGTTTCTCAACTTAACCTGATTCTCTTCTAGTATCTCTTAAGCTGTTTCTCCTTCTCTTCTAGTAGTGATGTTAGCAAAATCGATGATCTCTATGCAGTGGCAGCATCATGTATCGAGAGGTTAGTGAAATTTACATTACCCAAGGCCATTGTAGGCTTACCAGTTAGCTGGAAACATGAATGAATGAGTACATATTTTTTATTTCCTTTCCGGGTAACACTACTAATGCTCCCGCCGTCTCATTTGGACAGTTTTAATCCTTTATTAGGTATCATATGAAAATGAACAAAACAAACTTCCTAATTTATTTCAAGGAAATAAAGGTTATGACTGCATTCGACATGAAAACTGACATTAGCATTTGCAGCCTTCTGGCGGGGTTATTTGTAGATCTCTGATCAGGATAGAATCCATTGAAAATGAGAGGGACTAAAATTTAGAAGGAAGGAGCACACATCGGATTGCACCAGTCCTCATTAAATGGGTCTTTGCGAATAGATACAGCTGTTAAAGAAACTTTGAATTTATAATCAACTTACTGAAACTTTCAATTGTTTAAACTTTCGATAAGTTTGAGGTGTGATAGTTTTGCAAAATTTAAGATGGATTTGAACTGATATTTTTTCAGTTTTTGAAAATCTTCGGCATAAAGAATCATTTTGGGATGCAATTCTAAACAAACATTCACAAACCTTTTTTAAAGGACAATGAAGCCAGAGTGATGTTGAAGGTCGTACACATAATTCTGACTCGAAAATTTTCTTAAACGCTTTTTTTAAGATAAACTTCTCAATAATATGTAGTTTTTGTTTACTTTGTATACACAGTGGAAATTACAGGCAACTTGAGATTCTAATTGATAGTGGATTGGCGATCAACTCAAAGGATATCAACGAATTTTCATTATTACATCATGCTGCTGTGAGGAATCAAGTTGAAATCACAACTTTGTTGCTTGAAAGGTTTGTTGAAACAACAGACTGTCCTTTTTGCCTTGATTATGTAACGAATTTTCCCTGCTTTCTAACAGATAACTTTCAACTTCAAATTCAATGTTTCTACAGAATGTTAACTTCTAAATCTTACAACATTACGGGACGCCATCACGGGTACAACTTACAACATTTTTGCCATCATGGGTACCATTTTTTTGTCCCAGGCTTCAGAAATAATCTCGGTAGGCTTGAATGAAATAAATACCTTTTTGAATTACAGCAAAAACATAACAGTTAAACTGTGGAGTGACGGATAATGAGCAAGACGTTGTCCTAAATGCGAAGTTTTTGCAGAAGTCATTTTCTAATTTCTTAATAATTTGCGTCGTTCATTTTTCAGAGGTGCTGATCCGAACTGTGAGGGACCAAGCGATCAAACACCACTGCACTGCGCAGCAGGGCAGGGCAACAGAGCGATTGCCAAAGTTCTTTTGGAGTTCGGTGCGAATGTGCGGGCTAAAGATCGCCTTTTGTAAGTAATGAATCGGTTATATGTAGACAATTACGGTTAACTGCCTTTGCTGTGAGGTTATATACAGCGATGTGTAGTATTTCCACTCTCCCACTTTCGACCAAGCAAGGCATGATAAAAAAAGACAATCTAGCTATTTAAAATGTCTTGTTTACTCTCTTATCTTTAAAGACCTTTTACAAAGTAACTGAAAGAAACAAAATGTGCTTATAAATGCTCATCCCTTCGTTTCAAGTCGAACACCACTGCACATGTGTGCTGGAAATTTGCAAAGTTTAGAAGTTTCTTTTCTCTTGGTGGAGCATGGAGCTAGGATTGAAGACAACGATTTGGAAGGGACGAGACCGGTTGATTTGCAGCTGGTAAGTATCAGTTTTTTGCCTCGAACAATATCTGAAGACATGAATGTAGCCAGAGGGGGTTTGCTGGGTGCGGACAACCCTATGCTTGAACTTACACACCAAAATACCGACAGAACTCCGCATCGGTATTGTCTACAAGTACAACTTCTCTTCCTTAAGAGAGAACAACTTCTTCAAGGAAACCCAGGATATGGAGCTATAAAGGTCTTGTGTTTTCAAACATCTTACAGGAGTGGGGCGTGTAATGATATTGAAGAAGCTTGTTTATACATTTGGAGATATTTTGTGATTTCTGAATCTTTCTCATACTGATTTTGTATTCAATACTTTGATTTTCCAAGGTGATTTTCGGCCTCAAAACTTTGATCAATATCCCGCCAAAATCTAAGAGAGGTATAAACCTCTATAAGAAATCCATTCAACGTTCTCCACTCAGTTGAGCCTCTCACAAAAGTTTCAAATCATTTATCTATTTACTCTGCAATAAAACTTTCAAAACCGAACATTTTATTACAATATTTCCTCTTGTTTTTCGATGGTTTCAGGTCAAACAATCATTTGTCCATTTAAAAACAGCGATAGATTTTCCACTTAACTGCAACCTGTGATGACATCACTGCACGTATTTTCTCAGATCGCTAGTGCCTTTTTGAAAAAGAGGTCAGGAGGGCATGTAACGGTGAATCATGGAATTGATAATTTGATAAAATAAAAAGGCTTTCATTTTGCGATGAAAAGCCAATTGAAATATTCAAAGACACAAAACCCGTTGTTCGGTGAACCACTGCTTCAAAAAGCCGTTGTTCGACAGGTCACATTGGCCTACTTAGCTTTATTCTCCGCCACTGTATCAGGCTCAGCTTTAATCTGGCACTTCGATTAAGAATTAATGTCAACTAGGCCCAGCCCTTTTTGATAAGATAATTTCTCAAAATTAAGTGTTTGCTCAGAAAAAAGATTGTTTTTCAGAGGCTGCTTGTAGTGACGTGGGAGACGGGGATCTAGTTAGGATGCACGTAACTTCTTTTCCGAAAACTGCACCTTTTGATCTTCAACTAACCTTTTCAATCATAAATGTGTCCATTATATCGTAAAACGTCGCCATTGCAATAGCAGAACGTTCCTTCGCTCCTGGCTGCATGAATAGGTATTGATATACTATTCCCATTGAAAATGGAGTTTACTACTTTATAGCCCCAATGTTTTGGATTTTAAGGCGGGGCCTCTAGAGACTGTAAATTAGAAAATCAGGAAAGTGTTAATCTTATGATGAAGTAACTTTCTTATGAAGACATTTATTCACAAATGTTTCCAACTTCGGTTATCTTTGCCAGCTTCACTTTTCTTGATGCCCTTCTCTTCAATTCTTTTCCCTAGGAACTTCAAGAAATGCAGAATCGGCTTATCCAGTCAGCCTGCGAAGCTTTCACAGCTACCGACCTGTCAAAGTCACGTTCCGACTCCGGTTCAAGTTCTTCTCGGTCAAATAGCATGCGGTCTGGTAAAAGTTTGCTGCCATCACAGCAAGGCCGGAGAGGACTGCACAAATCTAACTCATTCAAAAGACACTCGATTAGTCTACATAGCATACCGGATGATAACTCTGATGAAGATGAAACGTTAAAAGACGGATGTAACAGAGACGGTCAGGTCATAGGTAATTTACTTGTACTGTCTCAAAATATTACAAATAGCACTTCGTGCATGATCATTCGTCTCTGCCTGCTTCAGAAGGTTATTATTTTTGCGAATAAGACAACGCCGGAACATTGATGGCGTAGAATCTTTAAAAAGGACACTCTATAAAGTCTTGATGACAAGAACAATTTTCCGCAACCCTTTAACCCTCTCCGCTCCTGGGGCCCATAATTCAAAAAGTGAAACAATAGCACGATGTTGCAGAATCTTGTCCTTATTTTTCATACCATACTTGCTCTGGAGCCTTGCTCCAAAATGATATACACTGCCAGCGCTCTTAAACGTATGAACAGGGGGGGGGGGGGAGGAGATTGCTCACAAATGGAAACGCTTAAAGGCTCTTGCGCAGTGGCGAAGATTCATTTTTTAGGTGGAGGGGGGAGGGGAATTCCCACAGTACAAGCAAAGTTGCCGAAAAATGACAAAATTTACAAACAAAATCGATAATTTAGCAAACCCTGGGGGCGCTTGCCCCCCCCCCCCCCCACACACGCATACCCGCGATTTCCGCCGCTACTCTTGTGCAACCGGCATGCTTCGCGGTAGTTGCCTTGAGGAACTGACTGTGTTCTAAGGCTGGAAATTTTTCTATGGGAAAATTGCGTTACCTTTGAAATCACATGCAAAGTGAATTTTCTTGATAATTATATCTTTAAACGATGCTCAATATATGCTTATATTGCATGGGAAGTTGTTTTATATCCAAGATGCCTTTGAAACAAACATATTATCTAGACAAAAATAGATTTTTTGTTATCAAGTATGATGCTGTTTGAAAGATCTGAGCTAATGCAAGTTGCCTATACATGCGAGAAATTGGCATTGTGACATGTACATCTAGCAGAAGTCACCTATTTTTTATTGTTTTAGGCATTATATCTGCAGTTTCTATCCGCGAGTCTTTGTGAGTTGCAATTCAAAAACATATGCGCTATCGTTGTTCTTCCAAAACTCATATGCCGTGCCTTTTTTCCAATTTCATGCTCCCAGCCTTCTGTTTAAACAATATTGGCCTTTCGTTGATAATTTTTCTGAAAACGATGGAGTATTCAGCTTTTTATGATTAATTCAGTAAAATTATGATTCGCTCAGTAAAACCATCCAGTTAGTAACGTCATTTTTTAGATATTTTGCTTTGCAATAATTTAAGTGACAAAATGCACACTACCTTGAAGTTTTCGTGAGAAGGGGGGGGGGGCAAAGGGGAAGAAATTTCTTAAAAGGGGTGTTGAAAAAAATTCGGTGATTTCAGGAACCATAATATATAACTACAGTTACTATCAAATGTTTTTGTGACGTCATCAAGTCTCCATCTCACATTTCTGCAAGGCTCCTACAAAAGCTGTATTCAGGCAAGAATGCAAAAGCTCGTGTTCCCAATTATAGTGACACTTGTTTAAGATCCATTTAGTTTGAAAATAACATCGTGACTACATAAAATATGAAATATTCTTTTAACTCTGTGTGCAAATTTTTAAACCAGACTCGTTGCAAATTTGATGTAAAAAATTTTTGACATAAGTTAGCGAATTTTGAAATATTGAAATATATAAATTTTGTAGTTTTCCAAATCCAAAGAACTAACAGAGGCTAGTCGTGTTAAACTGAGATAATATGAAATTTTGAACTTCGTTTTTTTCATTTGAATTTCAAAATGATAATTAATTTTAAAACGAAGTAATTTTTTCAGGGTTCAGCGCAGACGAAAGCAATGCTAGTTCAACAAAAAGTTCTAAAAAGACGATGAAACAAGAATCCTTCGATTGTGAAACAGAATCGTCCCGGGATGAACCTTATATACCTTACCAGGCAATAGACCTACGCAAGGTCAATGACAAGTATACGCGAAAATACGAAAATCGAGTTAATGAAAAATTTTTAGAACACTTTCGAAGTGGAAGAAATATGTTAGATGAACCTCTAAATCTACCAAGTGACAGTGAATGCTCGGTTGACAGCACAAAAGTTGAAATAGACTCACTTTGTCTAGACGATGAAGAATTTGCTCCGTCTATGATTCAGGATTTTAAATACGATGATACTAGTACTAGATCAGTAGAAGGATTTTTGGACTCTAATTTAAATGTCATGGGACAGAAGGATGATATACTGGACCTTCGAAATGGGGATCTATCACGAATACGTACGAGCACAAAAAAGGAAGAAAGTGGCTCTTCAGATGTCATCGATTCCACGGAGAATAGTCTTGCTGGATCAAACCATGATTTGTCAGATGATACAACGATTAGTGACTCGGAAAGTATAACAAGACTTAGGGAAAGTTTGCACTCTAAGGTACATTATTTTAACATATGTCTTGTAGAATGTTTGAAGTGCCTCTCTGTCAGGTTGCACTTGATCGATGATGCACTACCCCTTCCAATTAACTGTACCGTACCGTACCGTACTGTTCCCTGTACCCTATACTCTGTACCCTATACCCTGTACCCTATACCTTAACCTACCCTACACTGCCCTACCCTTACCTATCCTATCCTATCTTTTCCTGTCCCATCCTATTATATCATATCCTATCCTATCCTCTCCTCTCCTCTCCTTTTTTATACTATCCTATCCTCTCCTGTCCTCTCCAATCCTATCCTATCCAATCCTTTCCTCTCCTATTTTATCCTATCCTCTCCTCTCCTATCCTATCCTATCCTATCCTATCCTATCCTATCCTATCCTATCCTATCCTATCCTATCCTATCCTATCCTATCCTATCCTATCCTATCCCATCCCATCCCATCCCATCCTATCCTATCCTATCCTATCCTATCCTACCTATCCTTCCGTTCTGTAACTACCGTGCCGTTCCCTGCCATACCATACTGAACTGTACAGGTTTTTTCTTAATCAAGATGCTGTATCACTTTGTCTTGGTCTTTTTATCTTTCCAGCTCCCACGGACAGATCGTAGCTCATTCAGCTCTTATTCAAAACTTTTTAAGAAGGATCCAGCCTCGGATGCATTGAAGCTGTTGGTTACCCTCTCTTTGAACCCAGAATGTCATTCCTCGATCCTTGCATCACTTTGCTTGCCTAACACTGCAGGTGAGTAAAACCTTATTTCAGTCGAGAGTTGAATCACTTTTGGTTACTTGCCAACTATGAGGGATTGTGACCTACACATGAAATTTTTTGTGTAGAATTCTTCCTACTATGTGTGACATTGAAACTTTCTTAAACATGGTATCATAAAAATGAGGTCTTTATAAAGCAAATTAGTGCTAGTATAGAAAGAAGCATCAAAAACGCAAGTTTATGAGTCCGTTTTCTCTTTTCGTTTTTTCCAGGGCAAGTTGTTGCAGCTGCTCACTCCCCAAGAACCAGTTCATATCATCTTGACCAAATCGCTTCTCTTCTTGGAAATTTGTTCACTGTAAGTCAGTCAAGTATTCATTCGTTCAACAAACATTTGTTCAGTAGTACTTCTGAGCACTAATCAGAAGTGTTTTTTGTTTATTTTCAATGTCAAATTTTCAAGTTGTGATTTTTATGAATTAATTATCAATCGCTTTTGCGTCATATGGTACTTTTGTGATTTGTAGGTCTCTGGACCAGACATTAAAAGAAAAGCAGTGGAAGCTGGATTATTAAAGACGGTTATCGATATGCTAGACACACCAGAGCCTGTTCAGGTAATAGCTATAAAATTTCTGCTTCTTCTGAATAGTATTTGCTAGCTAGCAATGAATAAACAAAGCATTGAAACAATATTTTGGCACAATTGTAAAGAAATGGAACACCTTCCAAAGATTCTTTGTTCTAGTCGTTTCCAACTCGACAGCCTTGCTACCTTTTTTTGCTTTCAGAAATTGGAGATATTTTTTAGAGAGCTGCAAGGGGCTGGTGGGCGTTAGCTGGAAAGCCAAATCAAGAAAATCTATGATGACCACGCCCCTCATATTGTTCAGTCTACCAATTGTTTAAAGGACGCAAGCTTCTTTGCAAATGCTTCGATAAAAACATTTACTTCGAAAATTTTCTGCTTCATCGTTCCAGTTTAGAAGTAAATGACTTAAATTTTAACTTTTCTTTATTACTTATACGCTAGTTATTAGTCTATGTCCTCTCAATCCTGTTACACATAGATATTGGCGTTCATTTTTTCTTTTAGGGCACATGTCTCTCGATCTTGAATGATTTGCTACAAACAGAGAGTGAACGAGAATACTCAATGGCAATCACAAATGTACCTATTGAGCCTCTTTTAAGTATTCTTGAAAAGGAGACTCCAAGCAAAAAGTCGGTCAGTGAGAAACTACAACTTTACCAAGAGAAAACTCCAATGCCCTACGGTGACTCTTCTGCACTTTCAGCCCGGAAAGTGGCACATCATATTTACTTCCAAGAAAAAGAGCCGGAACTAGTCGCTTCAAAATCTATGAAACGCGAACTAAAATTTTATTTAGACAAAAGAGTATCTGACAAAGAAATGAACAGCCAGAGCTTGAAATTAGTAGATACGAACCCTCATATTCATTTTATGCCCCCACCTGATGGACTGGGTAGGGGTAGATCTGACAGTTTTAGCTCCCAGTCGAGCAGAGAGTCGTCGCCCTCGTCAATGGGAAAAGTGAGTTCTAAAAGCAACAGCGTCAGTGACGTCAGACTGAGTGAATCGTTAGCTGGAGCAATTATGCGACAAAGGCGAAGCAGCAGAGGGAGTGGCTACAGTACCGACGGTAGCACCATTAGGTATATTTGGAATGATTTACAACCTCAAGGATCACCTGTTTGTTATCTATTCATTCCTTGTTCTTGCTTTCAGACAGCAGAAGAACTGTTTTTCTAGCTGGTATTGGTAACTGAAATGAAGATATTAGAACTGCTAACTGGAAGGGTCTTTTTAAAATGATTACTAGGAAAGCCCAATCAACTTCTGTAACCTTCCATTGTTTAGGACAATACAGACGGTTATACTCCTATTAACAACAAAAGCGTGTTCCCCCAGTAAGTCCCTTTGCCCTCAGAAAAATTCATGATTGTACAGCAAAAGATAATTTGAAATGGTACAGCAAAACCGTTCCAATTCAATGAAATATTTTGTTCTAATGCCCACTTAATATTGTCTTTCTTGGCCTGCAACCATTTCTCCTTAGGAGAGTCCCCTTTCCCCAGTAAATTTAGTTCGTGGATTTTGTTTGTTTTTTATATAAATTACTCAGTATTTGAGTGCAAAGTAGGGGGAATCCACACCCAGTTCTGCCGTTACATCATATGTTTCTTCTGCAAAGTTCATTTTACATCATTGAAATGCACCAGAGGAACTGGCTTGTCATTCACATGAATTTTTTTACTTGGTTGCAAGTATTTTAAGCGTTGCTCGTTTGCTGCAATTACGCATTGTTTGCCTTTGTTTTTTCTTGCATTTCTATGCAAAATTTTGCATTTCATAAGGATTACTCTTAACACTTATGCTAACTTTGTTTTGTTTTTGCATCATTCAGCAGCAACTTAATTGCAAGCCATCAGCTATGTCAGCCAATGGCAGCCAAGAACATTGCAGTCAAAATGCTGTCTGCTGTTAGCAACAACCCAAAACTGCAGCAAGAACTTGCAAAACCAAGGTACAATTCATCACCCTCGCTTTGTCTAGTTTTGCTCAGCAAGTTTTTTGTCTGCCTTATTTTGTAAATTTGTAAAAAGCAGTTAAGACTTTTTCTATTTCAGTGCTTTTTTATTCTTTCAAACTGTTTTTGCAGCAGAATTTTAGAAAAAAAAAAGTTTCAGATACCTTACGTCAATTTTTCACTTTTTAGCATTGTCTCCTAATTTTACAAATAACTAAAATTTAGTCTTCATCATCAAACTTCGATACTGCTGTTCTATTTTATGCATCATTTACCTTGATCTTGACCTTGAGCCTTGCGTTTCAATCACCTTTCAACTTTGACCTTTAACCTTACGAAACATCATCTCCGTGTCGTGACCTTAAATCAGCCTTTCTATTTTAGGATAATACAGATTCTTCTCGGTTGCTCGAAGGACAGCGATTTCGAAATTTCATTACAGTCTACAATGGCCTTAGCTAACATGGCAATGAATGTTAACACTCATGCACAGGTACCGAAATAGAAGCATAGCATTCTAAAGCACAACTACTTAATACTAGCATGCCAGTGAACAAAGTTATAAGACAGGCTTTTAGACCAGCTTTGGGGTGTTTAACGGAGCCAAAGCGTTCATAATTTACAGATTTTGCGAGAAAATGGTATTAGAACATTGTCAACCGGTTGATAGCAGGATCTTGCGGTTTATCCTCTGTTATCCTCTACATATACGTAATTGGACTCACCTTTATAATGTAACTTTATAATTAGCAGTTTTCAACTTGATAAGCTGCTGTTACCATTTACCTTAATAATGGATATTATTCACGTAGCTGTAGAGTCTATTTATTCCTACACTGGAGATTTCTATTGCCTATGTAAGGGTGATTTATAGCAAAGGTTCTGTTTGTTATGTAAATTTTGATTGGTTGGTTTGCTCTGTTTTGTTACCAGCTTGAAAGTGAACACGTTGTTGAAGGACTGGAACTGAATACCAAACACAACAACATAAGGTGAGTTATTTTTAAGTTTTATTTTCAGATTTCTGTAGTCAAACTAGAAAATCAGGAGTGAGTGCCAGAGATAAGAAAGGTTTGATGTCGTATGGATTTTTTAACATCATGATTGTCTCAATACATAAATATTTCACCGTCAAACACAGTTTCCCTAGCTCTGGCCTTTTAGGGGCCTGTTTATAACGCATTCCTGCTAACTTTCCCCCTATTTGCAATCATAGATGGATCAAGTTTCAATGTTTTCATGTGTGTTGCATATTAAAAATTTATAAGTGATTTTTGCTTCAAGACATTTTCAACATTATTTAGGGTACGATATAACGCTGCTAGAGGTTTGATCTACCTCGGTCATTTCAACATCAATGGAATTCACATCTTCTCTGCATTAGAAGGTAAGGGAGCATTATGTTTTGCAAAATCATACTGTTATGGGTAGGTCAACCCAGCCCTTTGAAGCGGATGTGTTCAAGGAGCCAAGATCCTTTTCTAGTGAGATAATTACTGAGTGAATGAAAGTCTCTAGGCACAAGTTTCGCTTTTTTGATGACATCTATCCAAGATTTTTAAATCTTAAACCTTGACATCGTTTTCAAACACTTAACGAATCATATTCATGGGGCAACACATTAACTGCTGCTTGATTTCTGTGATCGAAAGCTTGCCTTTATTCCTGAATAAAAATGATTTGGTGTTTCATGTGGTTTTCACTTCATCTTTTCTCAGCAATTTAAATCGTTGTTGTGTTGAATAACCTCGAGTATTGTTGAATTGTGATGTTGAATTTAGTCTTTTCATTCTGGGCTAATTTAGACTTTTTTCCTTTTTCATGTAGCTGATGAATCTCTTTCAAACGTAATTTATTCAGAAGCAACATCCCAACAAGAACAGTATTTTGTGAGGTAATTTTTATTTTGTTAATTTTTATTACATAACTACATATTACAAACTATTTCCATTCGTTCACACTAATTCCATTTCAAAGATTTAGTAAAAATTTCAAGTAATAATTATTGGTTTCAATAGCGTATACAGTTGATTAGAGAAATGTCAATTTTATTGTCTGTTAATAACGGATGACATGAAACTTGTCAATCAGTCTTGTCCTGGAATGTTTGTCATCATTTTTACTATCAAGTTACTTGTTTAACTTAACACCTAATGAATAATATGCTCAGTATTCGTGATAAATTCTTAAAGTTTTCGTCTCTTTAAATATTGCTTAACAACCTGGTAACTTGATTGACCAGCCATATTTAACCCTCAGTTTTTCCTCCCTTATCAAATATTCAAATGATATACCATTAATCCGTTTAGCCTTGAAAGCAAAATGGCTACTCTTCGAAAGAATGTATTGTATTTTTCCAATACAGTTTGTTTTGAAGTATTAGACTGACAATTCTCAAGATAGAAGAACTGAAAGTAAAACTTTGTTACAAGAGTAAGATGAATGCATAACAGAAGAATAACGATTTGTTGGGTCTCCTTGACAATTCTAGTTGGTTTAGTAGCCAAGCAATAGATGCCATATTTGAAAGGTGTATAAATCTAAAGCAATCAACGAGCCTAAACATTACGAGAAATATTGATATATCTTTTACAATTTTATTCAAATTTTGTCCATTTAAAGTACGAAAATTAATTTTGAAAGCAAAAACAATAAGAAAGGAAAAATAATTTTGAAAGGACGTCTATGCTGTTTGATATATCATTTGACGTCGCTAATATGATTCAATATTACCAAAATAATATCTGGTTTTTACTGTTTGTTTCATTGTGTTAGCTACCATTATTTGGTTCTGTTAACGTAAAGTTTCGATTTAATCTTAGAGGCACAAGTATCGAGAGTCTCGTACTGATGCTAAAAAAGGATATTCATCTATTATGGGGTGGCAGCACATTGCCCCCACCATCACCAGGGGATAAAAAGAATGGTATGCGAGCGGGCGTTAGTGTGCCTGGGAAAGAAGGCATACGTCACGCCCCAACGGAACAGCAGATCTTGAATTTCATTTTGACGATGTACCCAACATTCGCTCATCCTGTCATTTTCATGAGACTTCTGCTTCACAGGTAATATTAAAAATTAATTTGTTGTTTTAAACACTTTTGGCAGTTTGTTTATTGTCATGCTTGTGATTTTTGGGTCGAACATGTGTGAGTCAGATATCAAATTTAAAGTACGTAATGAATTATTTCAAAACGCAACACAAATGTCTTACCGAAAATCTTTCCAAAAGCACTGTACATTGAAAACGATTGCTGATGTCATGACATACCTACATGCCACGATATTGACAACAATGGATGCCATGACGTAGTACGTACACAAATCACTCTGACGAAAACTTTGAAGCTCATTGAGATTTGCAAATCATCTTCTGCGCATTTCCTTTATAGATTTCACGATCCAACTTACTACAAAATCTTTGAAGAATATGAAGAGACCGGCCAAGTGATATGTATGGGAAATCTTGCACCGTTACCCCCGGTCCATGCAAGGCTGATAAGGGTGTGGGTTACCTGGTTAGAAACTCATCCGGGAGATTTCAGACGATGTCCAACTATGTTGGTGAGCTAATGAATTTAGCTTCTCTGTTGAAGTCTCCTTTTTTGATTTGTCATTATCATCATAGTCCAGGTTCTGATAAGATTTGTTACAAAGCCTTGCCAAAATCGGTAGACATTTTTCGTGGAAATAGTCTGCAACATTAAACAGAACTGACCTCAAGATTGTGAAATTTTTAAAGACTTGATTTCTCTAGAGTGCCTTGTCAATTGATTCTGGATAAGTAATGCTTACTGATTCTATCAAATCTCTCTGATTTACGCTCAAGAACCATTCAAAATGAATGCTATATTCATGAAAAAAACCATGCTTTGATTGGAACCACAGCTGTGTTAAGTCTGAGACTTACTCTCACAGCAGACACATTTACTTAGATCTCCAACGTTATATTTGAGAAGTTCTCAAATAGTAAGTAAGCGTTATGGATACTGTCGACGGATAGAGTATTTTTGTACGGCATCTTTCTAGACCCGATACCATCTGTATACATCGATTTCTGGTTCATTTCTAGGAGGAGCTTGGAGATTTGGTTGAGCCAATGAGAGCGGTCGGTGGGCCGTATGTTCCATGCGCAGAACGCCTGGAAGCTCTTATGAATAAAATAAAGGTTTGCGTGTCTTTTGTATGATATTTTGTAGAAAATTTTGTATGATATTTCGTATCAAATTTTGCACGATATTTCGTATGATATTTTGCATGACATTCAGTATGATATTTTTCATGGGAATTTTTATCTCCTTGATTATCAAACGATTATAAAATATCAATTGATTCTTCTCAACGTACGTTATTTTCCATGCTTGTTTATTCGGTACTTAAATAGGATTTTCAAGGCTCAAAAAGTTCATAATATTTTATTTTTCATTCAAAACATATTTATACATATTAACAATTAAGAATAATCTTGATTTACAATTTTCACCGTTAAATGAAAATTAAATAGAAGTTACGATATGTTTGTAATTTTTACAAAACGAAACAGGATAAAATGTATAGAGATGCAAGTAGAAAATGAGGATTAGTCAAAGAGAATGAGCAATTGACCGGCTGTAATGGTATAAAAAATGCTTAAACTTTTGGAAGTGCCAATTGAGGGCACCCTTTTAGCATCACAGCTCAACTGGTTTCAGAGTTTGGTCCTACGATATGAGCTGTAGCAACAGGAAATCTATCTACGTTTCTTTGAAAAAAATTTTTGAAACTAAATTATTTATCTAATGAAGGTGTGAATTTCTTCAACTTTGTCAAAATCATAAACCAAAATTCTTTGAACACAAACTTCAATATCTAATTTCGTGCAAATCCACTCCTCTCCATTTTTTCGTAATGTGAAGACACCTTTAAACTTTCAGTGAACCATAGCGGTTGATTGAAAGGAAATGGAATGCATTGTTTCCTTTGTCTTCTATTGTTCGCTATTGTTTCATTCGTCCTTGTTTGTTGCAGGAAGATGGCAGTAGCCGCGGGAGTGAGCGCAGCAGTCACTCAGAGAATTATCATGATGCTCTTTATGAACAGGTTAGTTACCAGTCCTCTGTTTCTTATCCAATGAATCCAGATTCACTGTCTGTCTAAAGGAAAACATCTGTTATCCAAAGATTATGGTTATTCAGGCAAAAATTACGGTTGCAAAAATAAATTTTCTAAAAGTTTGGAATGGCTGTGAGCTTACTTTTGACTCCTCTTGGCCCCCTTAAATGAGCCCCTTCCAACATTTTCTCAAAGATCAAAGATCTGAAAGCTTCATATTGATTTCCTTTCTCTATCATATTTTACTGATCAAGGGGCATGCTATGTTTATTCTTATATTTTCTCCTTCAAATCTGTTTCATGTTTATCAAAGTTTTCATTAATTTTACTTTTTCAGTGTCAAAAAGCCATTGTCAGTGGATCGATACCATCAACAGAAGATTATTTCGTTTATCTTGCTAGCCTCCAGCTATATATCGAGGTAAAGAGATAGTGGAACTGATTTACTATGAATCTTTAATGGTTTCTTTAAAAAACTACTAGTGTTTGATAATTAGCTTAGTTGATACATGGGAAGGCAACAAAATTGGCAGGAGCAAAGCAATCCATCATTCAATTTTCTAATAGATTACGACTTCTAGATTACGATAATCCTGCTTAGAGTATGTCTCTTAGTAATCCAGCCAGCAATCCTTTTAGTTGATTACGGGAATCCTCGATTATGTTTGAGTTTATTTGAGCAAAGAGCTAGAACAGATACTTATTGGATGCAACTAGATTTCTTCGAAGGAACATTTTTCCAGTATAAGCAGTATATTTATATATATTCTTAATACATTCATATATATGTTTTCAAATTTTTATCGTGACTTGATGATAGGAATCCATAACGTCAGACTTTCATTTTGTAATTTATTTGAATGACTTTTTATTTTGATCACGTTCGAGTAATTAATTGATTGGGCCATCAATATTAAACCGATCAAGTGATTTTTGATTGATTTGATATAGTGATTATTCAACTGATTCTTTCTCAAGGACTTGGAAGAATATGGCCAAGACTTTCCTCAAAGAATCAACACGATCAGCAGGTGAGTTAGATATTCAAATGCTTGCAGAAACATTATAATGTCCAATAATTACTGAAAAAGCAGACACCCATAAATTATCTAGGCGTGTGCTTTCTTGCTTACGTATACGGAATACGACAGTTCTATGTGTGTACTCATGTGATTTGACAGATTTTAGGTCTTGCCTTCTAAGGTTTTGTCTCAATAAATTTGTCTTTTTGCAGCATAACTTCTGCAAGGTTAAAACAAAGCATACATCCTTCATTGGCATCGTCAAAAAATGTCCTGAAAAGGTAATTGTATATTTCCAAATCATCTAAGTACATTAATGTTAGTTGGGATTATCTCTGCCACCAAACTTTTATTAGATTTGATACCTGATATTTCTAATACTATGCTGCTTAAATTGCCTTGAATAACAGGAGAGTGCTAGGCTATAGGCGATTTGAGGTATCCAATCGTGAACTGATTGCTTTCTATTATTCATTCTGTTTATAATTAACAAGCGAAATCATTTATATTTGCTACACCCAACGTGGATTCGTTTAGGGAAGGATTTTCTTCACTGCCATCTGTTGGTCTAATATTTTTCTGAGCCTCGAATCCACAAAATCAATCAAATTTCACCTTTCAAGCAAAAATCTAAAGCCTTAAAAGGTTTTATAAGGTTTTTTGCAGATTAATCCGTGATTTTTGAAGATTAGTTGTCTAAGGGTCATCATCAAACTCAACAATAGAAGCCCAAAGACATTGATTTTTTGTTATATCTGTATCTAGTGCTAGCCTTTGAATCTTGAGTCATTAGAGTGACGTATTACTAATTCTATTAACCCCATCTTTATGGTAATGTATGCATGTACCCCTGTACCCCCATCCCATGTACCCCATCCCATGTACCATCACCCCCTGTCATGCTATTTGATTCACTGAAAATGATATGACTCTCTTTTAGAATAAAACTTCAATATGAAGTGATCCTAGAAGAAAGTCCTACGATGAGAAATGCTAAGCATAATTACATAGATTGTTGTCAAGGAATTGAAGGCTTTGGCTGCAGATTTTTCAAACTAAAGGTACGTTTTTCTTGGAAAAGCACATTAAAATTACAATGCTAAGAGCATCTTATTTATTTGATTTGTATACCCAGATGGCAAGCTAACAATGCTTCTTTGGTCTGTTTAAGTAGATAGGTACTTTCAAAATATGTCCTGTAGATACTTGCTTTATTCTGTTTTATATTTTTCACGAAGATGCCTTTGTTCACAGTGTTCATAAAAATGATTTTATTTATATCCTTTAACTGTGATTTTTTACTATAATCTTTATGAAAGACATTTTATCACCATAATGTTATTCATCTTTTGTTAACCGTAGCAACGTGTCCCAACTAAAGGTGGAAAGAATTACAACACAGTGACAAGATTACTTGGAATAAGTTCGAAGCGAGTGGCTATTCTTGATGAACAGACAAAGGTATATTGGATATTGACCTATCACCTCATTTTATAGCTGGCCTTTGACCTTTGACTTTATTTTGATCTTTGATCTTTGATCTTAATTCACCAAGTTAAGTATTCCGGAAGTTTAATATTTGTTTAGTATTTCAATGAGGCTCTTTGTTTTATATGTAAAATTTAACAGAAAACTGTGACAAAACCTTTGTAGCTACTCAAAAGGTCAGATTTTTCTCTCTGTTGTGTTTCTATTTGTCACATTTGTGAGTTACCTTTCAAATCTTCAGGCGTGCATAGAAAAATGGAACTTCAAAGATCTAAAAAGATGGGGAACGACAGAAGACAATTTATATCTGAGACTGACTTTTAAGAAGCGAACTGTTGAATTTCAGATGGACAGTAAAAGGTTTGATAATTTTTGGTATTTTGAAAGATGCTAAAGTAGATTTCAAAATTACTTTGAAACTTAAAAAGTGAAATTGCGGTGAATATAGGACCAGCATCCTTAAAAAAACAGAATTTATTTTCTGTAGTTAGTTTAGCAAGTTATGTAATAGGCTTTATCTTTGCTCTTTGGAAAATACATTTATCCAGGCTTGTGCGTCAGGGGTCAAAAAGATCAAATAGCTCAACGGGACCAAAGAGATCAAAGCGGCCAAAGAGATCAAAAGAGGTCAAAAGGATCCAATAGGTCAAAGGGATCAAAGAAGTCAACAAAATCAAAGAGGTCAAAGAGGTCAAATATCTCAAGATCTCAAACATACTTTCCTAATCTGATTATTCTGGTTCTTTGTCCGACCCAAAGATCCATGAAAAAGAAAAATTTTAAACATTTTGTAGCGTTTGCTTTGATTGGTATGAAAGTTTGCCAGTGTCTGGAGTAGATTAAGCTATACATTTTTGTTATAATGTATAGCGATTGGAGAGGACCCAAAAGTTAAAAAAGGAAACAGATTTTTGAAGCTTTAAAAACTCTGTCAAAGAACAACTACAGAGAGTGTGATATCTGTGGCTCAAACTAAATTTCTTTCCGTCTCACTGACCTTCCTCCCCAATTTTATTTTCTTAGTTTTTTAACAGTTTATTTTCTGGACTCTGAGCCAAATAATGTTGGAATGCAATTTAATAATGGTTTTCCCGTTCTAGTATCTTCAAAGAGCTTTCAAACTACATTCTCACTTGTTCGATGGAGATGGGTCGGCAAGGTTTTGGCAATTTCGACACAAGTCCGTGGAGTCCCTATGCAGAACGAACTGGCACGTGGGGTGTCCCAGCGCTACGACTATACTTAAGTGAGCTGCGTAGAGAGCTTGATAATTCACCAACAGGAAAAGTTGAGAGTCCGCTCTCATGCAGAGAAAGGGCAATAACTTATATACCTTCTTCGGGGTATGTTAGAAGCATCTTTTTCAATAAATCTCATGTGTATAGCTGATATTTAAATGACGTGAATTGCATTTCATGTATTCTGATGTTTATAAATGCCTTTTAAATAGAAATTGCAGACTAACCGGTCCATCATTAGATACCCGATGCAATAACAGCAGAGCTGTTCTAAGCTTCAACTTTTGGAAGCCAGTACTAGCCGAATCGCGCAATTCCTATTTTAATGTCATTTCTGTTGTTTTGATCTGTTCAGGCCCTATTTAATCGTTCTACACAATCTTATGTTCATGGTGATATTTCCTTTTCCATTCGAATTATAATTAATTTAATTTCATCTAACATCTTTAATGTTGACCTCTTTAAATCAAATTAGAGTTTTTTAAATCAAATTCGTATTCTAAGACCACACAAATTCACCTCAAACAGGGGCATGTGGCTAGATAGCTCTAATGAGTTTTCCGCATGTCCTTGCTCATTTTGTTATAGTTACTGTCATGAAATTAATGTGTTAATATATATTTCCTGTCATTTAATCATCTTGAATCTAGCAGTTGCTTTATATTTTTCGATGCTGAATCATATGTAACGAATTGCTGTGAAATGAAATATTTGAATTCAATTGATTTAAAGTCTATATTTTGCATAATGCAGAGCACGGCCACCATTGCAAAGGTCAAAATCGTATGGAGTAACAGAAGTGTCAAAATCAGCGCCAGGACAGATCGAACCAGACGCGGAAATCACGAGTTCCGCTTTCGATTGGTTTCCGTTTCGAAGCCGGAAGTCCCGTGCGTGTAGCGGAAAATCTGAATTATCGACTCATGGTGGCATTGTAACGGAATATTCGGCAATACAGTCCCCCCAGTTGGAAGGCACCTCTCCAAGGCGTATGTTTAGTAGCGTTTTTGACACCGATCGTAATGTCAACTTTTATTCATGCACATATTATGTTTATATGATAATCAGAATAGTAAAACCACTCTAAAATACTTTTTATAAGAAGATACCTGTAAGAGAATATGTACCATACTAAGGCTTCTTTGTCTTTTGAATTTGATTTCACTTGATTTCTTAGCTGCAGACTTTCGATCCTTCAGTCATTCTCAAATGAGAACTTTGTTTGGATTTTTTAGGAACGAAACCACGAAAGAGTTCCAGCTCTCCGAAATCTCACATAGAATTTACCCCTGTGTCCGTATTTGAGCAGCATTTATCAAGTCCATCGCACGCCTCATCGAGTGTCCTATCTCAGTCGAGTAACGAAAGAGCGCCAATGCTTGATGGTAAGATCTTCTTTATTAATTCTTAAACGTTGTTCTGTTTTTGAAGCTGTTACAGTAAAGATATTTCTGAACTGCTGTATTGTACTGGTGCAAGTGAATATATCGTTCGTGTGCGGCTTTAGTTCAAAAGTTCTATTCTTCAAAGTTTTCTATATTCATTGGCATTCCCTGGCACAAGGTTTTATTACGCTGACCAAATTTTAACGAAATGCTTTCCCGATTTCTTATAGGATCAAGGAAGGTTGAGTGGATTATGGCATCCCTTATAGTTATTTACAGTGAATTCTGTTATTTGCCAATGTGTAGGGGACGAGAAAATTTCGTTGGGGACAAGAAAATTTCGTAAAAGACCGAGTTATTTATTATCGCTCGAAGCGTTTGTTATAAAGGGAGTTTTTCAAGGGAGCATACGTAAATAACCGAGGCTCGTAAAACGTCTACTCATCCTTTGATTCACGTTACTATTTCTACATTACTTTTATCTATTCTAACTTAAATTTTTGTTTATTTATATCGTTTGTTTTTGAAGTTTCTGCTGAGCAAGAGAGCACAAAAGCTGTTGAAAAAATCCAAAAAGACTACTGTAAAGCTGTGGCAAGAATAAATTATTGTCGATGCCCCCCGGATGCTCAGCTTCCAAATTTGAATCGAAGGGACTTCAGGTATGCATCTCGTCATTATACAAAAACAGTATTTTGCCAAACAGATTTTCAGAGGGCTGGTACTGAAAGGGTCTTCGAGTTCTTAGTCTTTATACGAAAGAAACTTGCAATTTTTTGTCTTTAAAACTCAAAGTAGGCTTTTAACATAATGGAACATTTGCCTAAATGTGTCTCTTAAACTTTGTTGACTTGTTTCACTGGTATCATTTACCAATTTTCAGTTTATTTGGTTCAGGGTCATAGGTCAAAATAAAAGAAAAAAAGCTTCCTACTTTAACTGTTATTGGCTTTTGTTTAGTGCGTTCTCGTTTTTTTGCAAGTTGCTTCCACTTTTGATATATGTGCAACTAAATTGAAAGATACGTTTATTATTTTTAGTGCTTTTGAACTCCTCCAACACCCAAAAGAGCTGGCAAGGCAGATCACGTTGATAGATCACGGTATGGCTCTCCTCTTATACTTTTTTGCTCTTTGCCTGTAGCACTGCTCCAAATGTTCTTTCTCTCAAGAATATGTCGTATACTAGACCTTTTTCGAAAAGCTATTCAATAACAGTACATTAAACCTGCCTTAGTGCCAAAAAATGTTTTGGATGGGTAAAGAAATGATTTTTGCTGACAAAAGATAAATAATTTTATATGCTGCTTTTATGCGTTTCTGTTTCAAATTTCAATTGTACCACACTAATTGAACACTTAAGTGCCATATTTTGAAACTGAATGAGTGGTTGCAATTACAAAATGGGTTTTATGTTTCAATTTTCTTCTTTGTTGCCCAATTACGTCGTATTTGGATTTATCTTATCCTCATATCTATTTTTCCATTATCTATTTCAGCATTCTACAATTTTCCTCCGTCTGTTTCTTCTCCTTTCCTTTGTTTTGTTCCTCTTCTTCTCTGTTCCCTTTTTAAATATTCCGATGTCTTCCTTGCAATACCTTTTCAAACAGGTCCGAGATAGGTGCTACAGCAAGAAACCTCTTTGGCTTCTATGCTTCTTATAACACAGACTTTTTGCAGTACTTGTATCTCCTTACTTTTCTTTTCAGAGTTATTTCGTGCTATGTCTTCACGAGATATTCAGAAGAAGATATCTATTGGTACTTTGAGGAAGCTGAAGGGTGATAATTCAAGTCAAACTGTTGAGAAAGTCGCGCAGAGATTTAATCAGGTAATAACAATTGGTTGCATTTGGTTATCAAAATAGGTTGATAGCTTCTTTAATAATTAGTTGGGTTTTCAAATCAGTATTAATTTCAAACATTTATCAAATTCATAATCTTTATCATGATTGGCTCAGTGGCTTGGCTCACAGACTTCAGATCCAAGGGTTCGGGGTTTTTGATTCCTTGTCATGACCGAATTTTCATTTGAAATGAGGAGAGACGCAAGCTCTCTGTAGCCCAAGCCCTGAGTATCACGATGTGTGGTTACAACGAGAGAGAAAAACAAACGCAACTCGATAAGCATAGCTTTCAAGTTTTGCTATATCCATCTTGATGCTAGGAAAAAACAAATACAGATATAAGATATTTTTTCAGAACATGAACGTTATCGACTACTCCGTCCATAAAACATTCCAAAGGATTTCGTTTCTTCTTGACAATTGTTGTTTCGATACTCAAATTTTACAATATTTTACATTTGCCGATAAACTGTATCATTATTCTTTAGTTGAGTAACTGGGTTTGCGTCTGCATCGTATCGGAGCGAAATATCGACAGAAGAGCGCAAATGTTTATCAATTTCGTCGAAACAGCGAAGGTATGTCGAAACCAAAAATTTAATCAAAAGTTTTAATGTAATTCTGCCTTTGAAACTGGTCACACTATCATGATTTTATCATAATGCTCGGAATAAAGTGTTGTTTTGAATACATATCCTCTACGTTTTTCAACATATGTTGGATACATATGGCATTTCTGGAATTACAACTGACAACAAACATTCGTTTCCGATAATTACTTGCCACAATACGTTACTATTGAAGATGTTAAGTTAAGTGTCTGCTTTGTTGATTATGATCTCATTAAAAAGTAGTTCTAAAGTAGTTATGTTTTGCTTACGTTCAGTCTTTCTTTCTTAAAGTACTCCAATGTAACATTTAAGTTGATGGAATCCTAACTGGTAGTGCTATCTGCATGTCATTCTTCCAATGCTCAAATGCTGTGCAAAAACATATAAATTTATTTTTTTATATATTCGGTATAAAAACTTACAACAACAAATTACCTAAAACAGTACGTACGAACTACTAAACTACATTACAAGGACGGAACCCAGGAGGAGCAATATAACATGACTGCCCCCTGGGATATGACATGTATCTAAATATAACTAATAATACAACCATAATACTACATATACATTTACTAGATTATAATAAAAATACATACAAAGTAAAATACAACATATACATATACGGTAAATACTTAAGCCCGTTTCACATTGGACGCCATTGGAAAATATGTTATAATGTTCGAGGTTTATACCTAATATGTAATACAAATTTTCTTGCAGCAATGCCTAGAGCTTCGAAATTATAATTCAGTGATGGCGATTGTTGTAGCAGCTCTTGGGAGTGCACCCGTACGGCGTCTGAAAAACACTAAGGAGGTATTATCTATGATAAATTATTTGTCATCTAAAATATGTATTATATTAAATATGATCAATGATGTATTGTCTATGGTAAATGATAAATGATATATGATATGTTGTATATTATATGTTGTATTTTATTCACTGTATGCTATGATATGTATTCCATTTTTTGTATTATGCTATATTATGTTGAAGTATATTTTATTAATTTATATTATGTTGTAGCATATTTTGCATAATTCATAATATTATTATCTATTCTGGCATAGTTTCTAACGATTCATTATTTTATACTGAATTCTAGTTGAGCATATTAAACTGCTTAATACTATCATATATTGCTTTATTCGATATCATGTATTTTCTGGATTGATACTGCTGCTACTTTATTCTTTTTATGTTTATATATACCACAAGCATCTATTTTACTTTCTTTCTAGAAAATTCCACCAGAGTGCCTCAGTCAATTGAATAAGATGGAAAATTTGATGGATACGAAGGTAATAGCAAGCAAGATATCAAACATAATGCTAGGGTTGATATTACAACATATTGCCGAGGCACGATACATTGCCTTAAGACCTTTGTATATACATTGTTTACTTTGATCTATCTCATTTTTACTTTAGAGTAATCACAAGAAATACAGAGAGGCATTACGTACTTCACCAACTCCGGCAGTACCTTACTTTGGTTAGTAAAAACTTTTATTTTGCAAAATGCATAACATGCAGCAAAATTTGCATTAACAGAAACCTCCTTGTCTTAAAATAATTTCCTGCCGTCAGGGCTTTGTTAATAAACCTTTAGGTAACGAGTACCTTATTACAGACCATAGTTTATGTTCCTTTTTAGTTTGAATTGGGACTAGCTAAAGATATATCACAAATCGTCTTTTTATCCCGACCATTAAAAGTGCAATTACAAGTCATGAAACTTCATAACAATGCAAATATGCAGGATGCCAAAATCAAAGAAGCTTTTTTTCTAAAGCATGGATGTTATCGTTTTGCATTCAGAACCTCGTCAATCAAAGGTGTCCACTACAAGGGCTGGCTTCCCTTTTAGGAGTTCTCCAGGAGGAGCTCAGTCATCACTGGGAGCTTTATATAAAACAGACAATGTCTTTTGGGAACAGCAAAATATCAGTTATTTTCTCCAATAAAATGATCTATAGCAATCACATACTGAAACGACTGTTTTGGTACAATTATTATTCGATCAAAATGGATCATCGACACTTTGTAAAGAGTTCAAATCATCATTTTTATAGCAATATTTTTATTTCGAACTTTTAGCAACCTCTGTAAAAATTAAAAGTCGGCGCCTATGTTGTTTATTAGCGGCTAGCCCAAGCTACGATTGTTACACAACCTCTTTAGTAGCAGTAATTGCATTATGCCCTTAGTGAAACACTGTGGAATTTTTTTAACAGGGTTGTATCTCAAGGATTTAACGTTCATCACCGATGGCAACCCAGATTATCTCACAAACGGACTTATCAATTTAAACAAAAGAAGACAGGTGAGTTATATTATTTCAATGTTGATGGCTTCTGAATAATCATAAACAGAATCAAGCGACGTTTTTTATTTTTATTGGCAAATTTCAGTCCTCCACCCTATTGGTAATTTTCAACAAATCTTCCTGATTAAAACAATTGAGACTAGGCGTTATTTTTGTCATGTTACCAGTCATATGTCTTGCAACCGCAAAATTTTAGCTAACTCTCTTAATAAACTCTTGAGATAGAAAATTTCAAGCAGTATAAGAAAGGTTTAAAAGTATTTTTGTTAAAGATTAACTTTTTTTGCAGGTTTATCTTCTTCTTGACGAGATTCATCGGTTTCAAAAGAAAAAGTACAACTTTCAAAAGGTAATTATATTGTTAACTATAATCTATATTCATGCATATGGGCTTTGTCAGCTTAGGCAAAAGCAGTTCTCAAGGTTCTGTAAATATTAAAATTCACGAAGAATTCAAAAAAATGTTAGAGTGCAAGTAAGTTAAAAAATGCGAACGTTATGTAAAAATAATGAAATCAAGGATCACAGTAACATTGATTGCATTTTCCCTTCAAATTTATCATCTACTTACTATCAACTTACTGTCAACATACTATCGATTAACTGTCAACTTACTATCAACTTACAATCGACTTACTATTGACTCACTTTAACTTACCATCCTACCATCAACTTAAAATTGACTTACTATTGACTCATTTTAACTTACCATAAGCTTACTGTCCACTTAATATTGACTTACTATTGACTTACTATCAACTTACAATCGACTTACTATTGAATTACTATCGTCTTTTTATTACGAAAAACTTTTTATTAGCTTATTATAACTCACCATAAACTTACTTTCAACATAATACCAACTTACTTTCAATTTACTATCAAACTATTTACATAGCTAAAATTTTGGCACAGATTTGGTTTGTAATCAGTTACACGGTTTTACTTTTACGGGAGACTTTTAATGAGTAGCACAACATGCTTTGATAACAATACTTGTTCTTGAAATGGCAAATATTTGCCATGGAATTCCTAATCTAAAATACTTTGGGACAAAGTGCAGTCAGTGATGAATACTTTTTTCCAGTTTCTGGCCATTGGTCTCGTAGTCCGCTGCAGTCCAATAGATTTGATACAAGAAATAGGGCACAAGAAATATCAAAATTTTAATTCAAGTTATCAATTAAACGACAGAACTCATTTTATAACGAGATAGTGAATTTTAGGCCTTTTTGGGTCACTGGATAGTTACGTCAATTGATTAACTATATTCCCGCTTTTTTCGTTTGACTTTTGGTAGCAGTCAAATAAATTTGACCAAAGGAAACAAAACGTATACCTCTCATTTGAATTGTGATAGAAGAAAAGCGACAATTATGAGACTTTATAATGCGAATAACAAGGAAAAGTTTTCTTTGTGCATTAAATACGGACCTCTCTGTTCGTATTGCATGTTCCATTGTAGCGTTTATAATGTATGGTGATTATTGCACTTACAGGTCCCTGAAGTTCGAGATTATTTGTATAATCGGCCAAACATACCTGAAGAACAACTTCACAAAATGTCACGAGAGATCGAACCTCCAATCCATGCTAAGTACCCAGCCACCTCAGCCTCGCAACCAAACACCGGATTGCAGGCTAACCTGTTCCGAAGCAGCGCACCAAGGGTGATGGGAAGGCGCACGCTCGGTATTATGAAGGCACAAGTGCACAATGTTGCCGTATGAGGTATGGACGTATTGGATGTTGTTTGCATTGATTTAGTTTTCAGGCATAATGAAGCTTTCTAAATGCCTACATACTTAAAAAATTTGTGTAGTGATCCAAGGAAAATTAAAGAATGATTGCTGTCGAAAAAAAAATCAAACGCAGATTAAACAATTGGGGAGGGTAGGGGGCTCATTTTCAGGCCCATCTCAAACGATGTCGTACACAAATTAGTTCGTTTATTCTTGGATTTCGCCGAATTTACGCAAACAAGCGGTCACGAAAAGTGTCGTGATTAATATTTTTGTAGTAGCCAAAGGATGGCTCCTTGTGAGATATACCATCTCTCTTTTCTGCTTTTACACAAAACAGCCTTAATTATCTCTGCTATTATTCTCTTATTCTCTTTTGCGTATTTTTTCACATTCTTTTTCCTATCTGTTCTTGCTCTACTAAATGTTCACCATACCCAAAGTCACGAAATTTGAAATAGTGAGCAGAAAGTTGTCGTCGATGCTATTAAACTTCATTCTTGTATAGTAAAACTTGAGTTCTTTTGAAATGCAAGATTGCTGACATGGATGCCAAGCATGTTAGATCCTTCACACTATAACAGCTTATCTCACTATCACTTTTAATGTAAACGTTCAAATTCTAGAAGTTTGACGGTTATCACTGAGCTACTTGGCTTCAGCAGTGTCCCTTGAACTCCGCAGCTCGCAGACACAGTTGCCCCTTCATGTGTTGTGCAGAAATAGAGCTCGTTCCAGTGGGAGGCTAGAGTTCATCAACTGTCCTTGAGTTCACTAACGTGACAGTTGAATAGCAGTGCAGCGAGGTCTCAGATGTGACGCATATCTAGCAAACTGATGTATTGCCATCAAGAATAATGGCCTTTATAGATTGGCCTTAGTTGCGAGAAAAACCAACGAGCCATATATTCTTTGTGTATATGATACTGTTTTTATGCAATCTAATTGAGATGACGGTTATTTTGAAAGGCCATATGCATTTCACAGGCAATTTTTTAACACAACCCTTATAATCCAAAGCTCAAATAATCTTTCTCGATTTCCCGTAACACTTTGCCCCGAGTACCCTTTCCCATATATACCTAATTTCTTTTTGATTGATGGCCAAAAATCAATTACAGTCCCACAGTCTGAGGTCCCATAATTCGACACACAGATTTTCTTAATTAAATCCTCTCTCTCTGTTTTCACAATTTTCTCTGTTTAGCCCAACATTTGGCCGATCAAAATTTCAATTTCTAAAAATTTGTATTCATTTTAAAAATCGAGTTATCAAACCACCTGAAAGTTGCATTGCAGGAATACATTCAAAGACTTTTTAACTTGACGAAAAAAGTTCACCAGGAAACTTGCCACGTTTAGTCAAATAAGCATTAGGTTGACAATTTTATTTACATAACTGTCTCTTAGAGAAAGATACTTGTCCAAAATCCTAAATTGCCTCTGTTTTGCAATGGCCCTGTTAATAACCTTTCATGTTCATATACTGTTTTAACATTCTTAAAACAAGCAAATATTTTTATCATAGAAAATACTCCTGTCAATTAAATAATAATTAACGGGGTGGAAAACAAGACTAACATAGCATTAGGTGATATGGGATTGAAAAGCAATGCTTTATTGTATCATTTTCTTTACAGCCCCTCTGCTAAAAAAATCTCTATATATGATACATACGTAGAAAGAGAACCATTTTCCAATAGGCTCTTTAGGTGAAGCACTTCAAAAAATATAGATTTACTTGATTTAGTACACGTCGATGCGAATCAAAACCTTCCTATTATTTTTAACATGCCTCGAGGGTATTCCAAGAACTACTCTCAAACTACAGCGGTGTAGACCTGGGGGGGGGGGGGGGGGGGGGGTTCGAGGGGCCTATGAAAAATAGCCCTTCGCTTTTTTTGCTTTTGTTTTTTAAACAGTTTTGACGAGTACCTCCTTGTTTTTCTCTGTGCACAACACCCCTGCGCTCATACCAAACTAAAAGAATCTCCAAGCTTATGAAAAATAATGATGGAGTTTCTAATAATTAGAGCTGCTAACATAGATTTTTAATTGCGATAAAGAGTTAAGTGGGTAATGTCTAAAAAAATTTCCAGTTTACCTTTGAGGATATATAAAAAACTAATCAATTTTTCAGCACCTTTCCCTCATCACTGGTTTTTCCGAATATTGTTCTCACTTGAAAAACTCATTGATTTTGACCTGGACATATTCTAGTTCATTTTACTAGAAATATTCCAGCTCATTCAACTGTGTAATTGTAATTTTATTCAAAGACTCCCAGCTTTTCAATCCCATGTTGCTAAACATTCTGGCTTATAAAAGAAACAGGGATATTATATTTATCCGCCAGGCCAGGTGATATGTGAAGTTCGCAAAAAATAAAGATTGGTTTGAGGTAAATGCTCAACATATGAGATATTCTTATTTTAAAAAAGATCGTAAGCAAATTTAAAGGATTGTAGCGGGTGAGCTGCATTAAAGGGATAATTTTCCTGTAGTTTTTACCGTTGTTATAAGCAAACAAAATTTTCGTTTATGTTTTTTATCGCTTCTCAGTTATCATTTAAGTTAACAACTTCATCCAAAAGATTTTTGAGATAAAAGCTTTTGTTATTTCGAAATGGCAATTGATTCCACAATATGGCATCAAAAGGACATAGTTTCAAATTTTATTCTGAGGAAATTTTTATCGATTGGTTTGCAAAATTTTGGTCAAATTTCCATGAAGAGTGGCTGTTCCAGAATTTTTGTAGATGCACAACAGGTAATTTTCCCGATTTTATTGATGCACTTTGTGCCAAAAATATGAAAGATTGAATAATCGCATAAATTGAACTTGTTAAAAGAAAAAAGTGCAATGAAGAAAGATATAAAAGGTTTATTGTACAATTATGTTTTATAGTACCTATGAAACTATGCAACGACTATTTGGATAAATATTTGTGACAAACACTGCCCATGGCGTATAATATTTCCTAAATAAACCTTTGGGGTCCCTTGCATTCCAAACAACAAGGTCCCATAATCGTGCCCGTAGTCTTCAATCTTTCAGTCTTTTATCAAAATATTGGACGAGACATGCGTCTACAAGCCAGATCTTTCATGTGTGTACGCCCTTATCTGGCACACATTGAAAATGATATTTCAAAGCCACTACTTCTTTAAATTGAAACTTAACCAATCGATTTAAAATCTTAAAACGGTATTTTGATGAATAAGGAGAAACAGAAAGTCGTTTTCAACTTAAAATCTTTTGGATGAACGTTACAATGATTTTTCATTTTTTAATCGCAGTTGCATATTAACTCGGAGAAAAATAGATGTCAAATTTCAGAGGGAAAAATTAATTTGATATCGTAACAAAACTAACATTAATCAATACCGGATTAATACGAAGCAATTAAGTGAGCTTTTCGTGTCGTAGCCACTGATCTATAAAATACTTTTTAGCTTTTAGGCCATGGCCCTGCAGGTCTGTTACATGTCAGGTTTTTGTATAGGCTTAAGCAATTTTATCATACCTTTGAAGGGTTGCTTGACGTGTAACGGTAGTTTAACCAAGAAAGATGTAACGTTTTTATCATTGAAAGTAATTTTGCACTGCGTTTAAATCACGAAAGAATTTACATACGCAAATTTGTTGATACCTAGAATTTAGACAGCGCATACTTAAGAAATATCAACGTGAATATTTAATTCTTATGCAGTCCAACTGTGTATTTTATTTGCGAGCTTCGCATGTAAACTGACAATAAACCTATTAATATCGTTGCGTATACTAATTAAACATTACACAAGCTTTACCTAGTGCATTTTTTGTTCAATACTTGACTTTGCTCCACAAAAACTTTGAATAGCTCTAGTAGAACTGTTTGTAATTTTACCAACTTATACTTATGCTCTATTGAATTTTGCAAGTTTTGATATATGGCCACTGTCAAAGGTCAAAGGTCTGTGTCAAAGGTCAAGGGCCTGGGACAAAGGTCAAAAGCCAGTGTCATCAGAAGCCAAAGTCCTAATTCTAATGTTTTGTGCGAAAAATGGCATTCTAAATGGTTCTGGGATGAATCACAGATGCTTTTTGTCAATTTCCTAACCCTCTAGTGAATTTTTCCGGCTAAATTTTCAAGAACACTTGATACGAATGGTTACACGTGAAATTTGATACATATGCGAAAAGGAATATTCCATAGCATTTCTGTCTGGGGAATAAATCATGCTGGATATGCTCAGGGGATTGTCCATCCTCAAGTATGCCTTTTTTGCTACCAGGGTCCTTCTCTGGCGTTCTCTGGGCGATATAATGATTGAAGTATGGAACAATAGTATGATTTCCTTTCAAGGCGGCTCTTGACTCAGCATTACTTATTTGCTGCGGCATTCTTTCCAAAACCAAACTGGGAATCAAATGAAAGGAATGCTCTCTCATGGGATGGAGTGAAGAACACCATTTCTCAAAGCAGTCGCTTTGGAATTACCACGTGGGCTGGCAGTTTGAAACAGACTATAAATTCATATCGCTTTGGCAAAGCTGCCTTGAGCAAGATTGACCTGAATCAAGGACAACACGTGGTCAAAAGGACAACATTTATAGCTTTGCAGTAAAAGTTGAAGGGCAAATTATGAAAAGAAGGAAATTCGTTGGTTTTGTAAACGGAGTCTTGAAAGAAGAAAAAGATGCGATAGCTGTTGATGACCAAGGAGGATCCAGTTCAAGTGATGCAAAACCCGCAATAAGTCTACACCTACCTCACCAACTAAACCTACTTCACAACACAATAAGGTGTGTACTTTGCACGGTTCTCTCTGTAGTTTGTTTTATACTTGATTTTGAATTATTTTTATAAATTTGGTAGTGTAAATTAGAAGTTCATTACAACACCTTGCTTTCGGTGCAACGTGCTATAAACAGTGTGGTAGAGAGATCCAGCCAAAATCTAAACAGGGAAAAGGGTTGAAATGAAGAATCCGGATAAATATTCTGTTCTGCTGGATGTCATATTCTTAGGAGAGCGTTCCATAAACTTAGGCTATGATGTGATTCGGTTAAGCAGATTATCACAGGCCATGCTGGATGTGATTCGTTTACGCTGTCAAAAAACTCCTCGACGTGTATGAAACGAGGTTAATCGCATTATCCTGACCGGACTTTTCAGTTTCGCCGTGAAAAGTAATGACCCAACATCCAGCAAATCATTTCCAGGCATTTAGAATATACTTTTGTATGCTTAGAGCTTTTTATAGTTCATGTAAAACGGAGTAATAGAAACTTTAATTTGCATTAATGAAGCTCTGTCTTATTGACATGTGAGTTGGGGTTCTCAACTTTTTAAGAATACAGTAGAAATACTATTATAAGATTATTCATTATAAGATTTCACCTCACTTACAACAAGGCAATTGTGTAAATAATACTTAACCAGTGCAACAAGGGTTTTAGAATATAAAAAACACAGCAAAACCAAAATCTAGAACTGGCCTAGGCCGATCTTTTCAAGGGTGTTAATATCATTTTCAAATGAATCATCAGACTTCAAAAATTTGAGCAGCTTTGCAAATGTGAAAAAATGAATAACTTCAAGCAACCTTACAAGATATCATTTTTATCTTCCCTTTTTTCTTAATTTTCTCTCCCATTTTCTTAATTTTCATAATGCGTAAGGAATTATATTTTGATAAATACTAACAAAATGTAACTCTCATGCCATAACTATCAACAAGTAAACGGTTTTTAGAAACAATGGAATGAAAAAGAGAAATGTAAAACAAATTCATTTTTAATTCAATAATTTCTACAAATTTGCCATAAAACTAGGTTTATTATTGTCATCTAGACAAAATTTCCAGGGCTTCTACAAGTGTTCTTGTTGGCCTACCTACAAAGAGAAAAAGTTCAAGATATAAATCTTTGAATAACTGATCAACAACAATAAAAAATTGCACAAAAGATTTATATTTCTTTCTATGATTTTAGTTAACGTTATCTTAAAACAAGCGAATGACCTGGGTGTAAAGTTGAGGTCTCCAATTGTTTCCTGTTGTGACCCATTACAGCACTACGAGGTGGCGAGGGGGGACTAGGTGGACACGTCTTTCAGTTTTCGGCAGCAGTTTCGTATTTCGTCTAAATTCGACGAGAAAATTTTTGGAGAAGGGTAATATTTTCGTGACGTAGTTTTTGTGATGTAATCTTATGATTTAATAATAATAATAATACAAATATTTACAGAGGATGGCCTGAGTCACTCGAGGGTGCTTTTCATGAGGGTCCTCTATAAACTTGTTAACTTAGTCATTGGTATTTGATAGGTGTGAAACTGGCAGTCTTTGTTGGCCAAGGGGCGTTTTCTGGATGCCTTTATGCCGATAACTCGGTTGATAAACAATTCAACTTAATGACAATTTTACAAACACTTAAACAACAAAACAGTAAAAGATATGAAGAAAAAAATCAGGCGCAAAGTTCTGGGCTTGAGTAGCAAATTGCAACTAGATACAAACCTGTCATTCCTTTACCAAGATACGGGACTTCTCCGGCTGACGTCATCACACCTGCTATGTCGATATGAGCCCAGTGATCAACCGTTACAAATTCCTTGAAGATAGATTTGTTGTTATACAGGCGAAATTCTGATGTCACTTTATTGGGCAAGGTTTCTCTATATTTTCTGTGGATAATCAATATTTTCGTTTTCCAATAGATCAACTTGTTACTTATCTTTCAGACGAAGTTTCGTCGTCTTTTTCAAATCTTTCGTTCTTTTTAATGGTACATAAATTCAAGTAAGCTTTTAGCAAAAAAATTGCAATAGTTCGTTAAGTCTTTCAATAAACCTTAATTCTTATAGAAGGGGGTTTCTAGGAAATATTTTTAGACTTGCAAGAATAGCCATAGAAAATTGAAAATAATTCTAGAGATCTTCACAATTTACATGAATTAGCAAAAATGCAAAAATTAAAATAATGATGTGAAAAATGCGAGAAATATAAAATAATGATGTGAAATATGAAATAGATACACCAAAAGCTGAAATATAAATTAGGAATGAAATGAAACTACAGTAAATTGGGTTATAAACATAATGGCATATCAAGGTTTTTTTTGATTGCAAAGCACTTTTGCTTACCTTTAAAAATGCAGCCGCAGTGCAGGAACCAGCAGAGCTTTAAAGGAATCGAAAATAATCATCAAAGTACGACAGAAAATCGATAATAACCGATACAAGAAACGATTATCATTTTAGGTATTTAAAGATACTAATATACTCGCTTTACTATTACAAGAATACCACGCTAAACAAGATCCAAGATTTTTGTGGACACGAACATGTAGGTACTGATTACTTCATTGTAAGATTTTAATTAAAGGAGGACACTTAGTATGCTAGTGATCAACCCCTTAGGCAGCCTCTTGTTCGCTAATGCAGTATTTGATTATCATAGATTTGTTAAGAACAACGACTTTTCCATCAACTAAGCCAAAAGACAAAAATCAATGACCTTTCCTACAATCATGTCAAAATGTCACCCCCATAGTCTTAAAGGGGCTGTGTCACAAGGAATCCCGCGTGGCAACACGCCAGTTTGCGAAAGTTGTTTGGATGAGACAACCTGTTTTCAATAGGAAAACCAATATGGAATAAGTAAGCTTCATTTCCTTAGCCTAGACCAAATTAACATACACATGCTGAAACATAGCAATTGTCCATTCCATGTTCGGTAAATACGCTCAGAAAATACAATTTATCGAGCCTATCGATGCACCGGAGCACCATCCGCCATTATCCCGATCAGCAAGTCAGGCTAAAAACGCACAATATCCCGTGTATTTGGTTGGTTTACAAAATCGGTTTACTTCAGCTTTGCAGTAAAAGTTGAAGGGCAAATTATGAAAAGAAGGAAATTCGTTGGTTTTTCAACGGTAAACGGAGTCTTGAAAGAAGAAAAAGATGCGATAGCTGTTGATGACCAAGGAGGATCCAGTTCAAGTGATGCAAAACCCGCAATAAGTCAGCAACTAAACCTACTTCACAACACAATAAGGTATGTACTTTGCACGGTTCCCTCTGTAGTTTGTTTTATACTTGATTTTGAATTGTTTTTATAAATTTGGTAGTGTAAATTAGAAATTTATTACAACACCTTGCTTTCGGTGCAACGTGCTATAAACAGTGTGGTAGAGAGATCCAGCAAAAATCTAGAGTAAACAAAGAAAAGGGTGGAAATGAAGAATCCGGATAGATATTCTGTTCTGCGGGATGTCATATTCTTAGGAGAGCGTTCCATAAACTTAGGCTATGATGTGATTCGGTTAAGCAGATTATCACAGGCCATGCTGGATGTGATTCGTTTACGCTGTCAAAAAACTCCTCGACGTGTATGAAACGAGGTTAATCGCATTATCCTGACCGGACTTTTCAGTTTCGCCGTGAAAAGTAATGACCCAACATCCAGCAAATCATTTCCAGGCATTTAGAATATACTTTTGTATGCTTAGAGCTTTTTATAGTTCATGTAAAACGGAGTAATAGAAACTTTAATTTGCATTAATGAAGCTCTGTCTTATTGACATGTGAGTTGGGGTTTTCTAACTTTTTAAGAATACAGTAGAAATACTATTATAAGATTATTCATTATAAGATTTCACCTCACTTACAACAAGGCAATTGTGTAAATAATACTTAACCAGTGCAACAAGGGTTTTAGAATATAAAAAAACACAGCAAAACCAAAATCTAGAACTGGCCTAGGCCGATCTTTTCAAGGGTCTTAATATCATTTTCAAATAAATCGTCAGACTTTAAAAATTTGAGCAGCTTTGCAAATGTGAAAAAATGAATAACTTCAAGCAACCTTATAGGATATAATTTTTATCTTCCCTTCGTTTCTTAATTCTCTCTACCGTTTCCTCAATTTTTATAATGCGTAAGGAATAGTATTTGGATAAATACTAATAAAATGTAACTCTCATGCCATCACTATCAACAAGTCAACGGTTTTTAGAAACAATGGAATGAAAAAGAGAAATGTAAAACAAATTCATTTTTAATTCAATAATTTCTACAAATTTGTCATAAAACTAGGTTTATTATTGTCATCTAGACAAAATTTCCAGGGCTTCTACAAGTGTTCTTGTTGGCCTACCTACAAAGAGAAAAAGTTCAAGATATAAATCTTTGAATAACTGATCAACAACAATAAAAAATTGCACAAAAGATTTTTATTTCTTTCTATGATTTAAGTTAACGTTATCTTAAAACAAGCGAATGACCTGGGTGTAAAGTTGAGGTCTCCAATTGTTTCCTGTTGTGACCCATTACAGCACTACGAGGTGGCGAGGGGGACTAGGGGGACACGTCTTTCAGTTTTCGGCAGCAGTTTCGTATTTCGTCTAAATTCGACGAAAAAAAGAAAATTTTTGGAGAAGGGTTATATTTTCGTGACGTAGTTTTTGTGATGTAATCTTATGATTTAATAAAAATAATAATAATAATAATACAAATTTACAGAGGATGGCCTGAGTCACTCGATAGTGCTTTTCATGAGGGTCCTCTATAAACTTGTTAACTTAGTCATGGGTATTTGCTAGGTGAAAAACCGGCAGTTTTTGTTGGCCAAAGGGCGTTTTCTGGATGCCTTTATTTTGCCCCCCCCCCCCAGGGCCTAGTATGCGCTTGAGTACCCGGACCGAAATGCATAATGTTACCGAAACGCATATGATACCGGTACCCCAATAAGTTAAAAGTCAGTTTGAAATACTTTACTTAAAGACACTATGCTTACACGCATTTTGATGACCATTTAAATTCCGATTGGTTGGACTATGCAATAGACCTATTTTTAGGTACCCGATAGTCGTTATTTCTCAACCGAAGAGCCTGTTGTCAACTCTGAACGGTCGACTTACACTGACAAGCCATATTGCCGAGGCCGAAAATGTTTGTAACCTCGATCCGAAGTGCTCCGATAACTCGGCTAATAAACAATTCAACTCAATGACCATTTTACAAACACTTAAACAACAAAACAGCAAAAGACATGAACAAATAATCAGGCGCCAAGTTCTGGGATTGAGTAGCAAATTGCAACTAGATACGAACCTGTCATTCCTTTACCAAGATACGGGACTTCTCCGGCAGACGTCATCACACCTGCTATGTCGATATGAGCCCAGTGATCAACCGTTACAAACTCCTTGAAGATAGAGTTGCTGTTATACAAGCGAAATTTTGATGTCACTTTATTGGGCAAGGTTTCTCTATATTTTCTGTGGATAATTAATATTTGCGTTTTCTCTTTCCAATAAATCAATTTGTTACTTATCTTTCTGAGGAAATTTGGTGATCATTTTTTGAAATCTTTCGAATTTTTAAGGATATATAAATTCAAGTAAGCTTTTAGGAGAAAAATTGCAATAGTTCGTTAAGTCTATCAATAAACTTTAATTCTTAGAAGGGGGTTTCTAGGAAATGTTTTAAGATTTGCAAGAATAGCCATAGAAAATTGGAAATAATACTAGAGATCTTCACAATTTACATAAATTAGCAAAAATGCAAAAATTAGCGGAAAATATAAAATATTGGTGTGAAAAAATAGAAACACCAAAAGCTGAAATATAAATAGGAATGAAGTGAAACGACAGTAGAATAATTTCATATCAAACTTTTTTCGTTGCAAAGCACTTTTGCTTACCTTTAAAAATGCAGCCGCAGTGCAGGAGCCAGCAGAGCTGTAAAGGAATCGAAAATAATCATCAAAGTACGACAGAAAATCGATAATAACCGATGCAAGAAACGATTATCATTTTAGGTATTTAAAGATACTAATATACTCGCTTTATTATCACAAGAATATCCGCTTTATAAGCTTCAGTTCCTTAGCTTAGAACAAATTAACATACACTTTTCGTTTCGATAGTCGGTACATATGCTGAAATATAGCAATTGTCCATTCCATGTTCGGTGAATACGCTCAGAAAATACAATTTATCGAGCCTATCGATGCAACGGAGCACCATCCGCCATTATCCCGATGTGCAAGTCAGGCTAAAAACGCACAATGTCCCGTGTATTTGGTTGGTTTACAAAATCGTGACACAGCCCCTTTAAATTGATATAGCAACGGTAAAAGGGTCCACTTCCTTTCATTTGCTACAATCCATTAAATACATACCCTGCTGTCTTCTGAGTGTTTCGTAAGTCTGCAGTTAGGCTGCAATCCATTTCTTTTGAATATAATTCAAAGAGAGGCATTCTCCAAAGCCTATCGCCACTAATGAACCCTGCCTTTGAACAAAAAAGGAATTATTAGTAAACTGAATTATAGGATTGTATCAAAGTAGGCACGAGGGGTGTATAGTAAGGCCCCGCGAATAAGAAACTGTTTTTCCACATAGCCTTAGAAGTTTCTTATATCATGATTCTTCAATTTTCCTACGCTTCTTGAATTTTCCAAAGCAGCCGGATCTGGCTGTTAGTTTATCTAAGTAATTGGACGTTCTTTTTAAAAATACCTCAATTTAAAAATATCATGATAATCGCACAGCTATGAAATATCAGACACTGCAAAAGATGAAAGTAGTTTGGGAAGAAAAACGCGCAGAAACTTTTTATCATACAAAGAAGTCTTTTTTTAACATTTACACTAATCTGCAAAAAAAATTATTATTGTTGCTGAGAAAAACACTGTTCAAACAGTTAGATTTCAAACGAGAAAATTCAGAATCCGAAAACCCAAAGAGCCACATCTGAAAGAATCAGGTGAAATTTCTTGGAAGGGTTCAATTTCTGGAGAGGATGCAATTTCGGGGAAGGGTGAAAAATCTGGGTACTATTTCTGGGCAGCATTTGTTCGAAACTTGTCTAGGGGTCTTGAGGCTTGAGTAAAAAGAAACTTTAAAAGATGCTCTTGACGACCGCAGAGCAAGACGAGTACGCCGCATTACTGATGCTTCGATACATCGAGGATTCGAAAATAAATTTATAGCTACCTCATTCAAAACATTCCATAAGGAATTACTGTTTGTGAAGGTACCCGCTGCCCCAGCACCGAGAGCGATTCTCATAGCACCTGTTAAAGAAATTTGCCTTGACATAACGGAATTTCATAATAAAATCTATTTATAGTTTGATAATCAAATGACTCCTAGATATATCCAATCAAATCAACGCTAGTGCGACTTATGTTTTAATATACAATCGTATGAGCACACAGCAGCGCATAGATAATAAAAGCTCGTTTACTCTTCAGGCATATTATCTTATCATCTACGTACAAGCGGTATCTTTTCCATGATTTCAAATGATGAATTGGTTTCACACTTCTCGGTAATCATGAAAGGTCACATTCTAAGTCAAATAAAACAGTTCTTGAAGTAGCTATACCGATTAACTAATCATTACAAATATCCCCTGGATAAGTGTTACGATAATTTCTTTTCTCGCCTCTACCTTGGCATCATGTTTGTTCAGTTTGTACTGTAATCTCACTGTTTATAAATATCACATTAGCGTCATGGCAGTTGAAAATCCATGCCTACATTCGTTTATATCTTTGCAAGGTGAAAACGCTATGAATCTGACTTTTTAGAACAAAAATGCATTGCTGATATCCTTAAAGGTTACATCAAATAAACGAAATTCGAACCGTATAGCTGAAGTCCCAATAGGTGGAAATTCTAACGGAACGTCGGGAAATAGGTTAAGCTAAGGAATGTTCGAGTTAACGGGAGCTCGATTGTATCTGGGAAGGTGAAACTGGAATAGAAAGCAGCTCAAGTTAGTGAAGTTTGACTTATCGAGATTTCGAGTTATCAGGATTATTCTGTACCTGTCAACGTAGCGAGATTAATGATGCGTTTGGGCTTAAACGAGTCAGCATATACCAATGCATCGGCTAGAATCAATCTTCCTTCAGCATCTGTGTTGTCCACCTAGAACAACAAAAGGAATGACTTGGACAACAGCCACAACCACATGAAACAAGAACAAACAGCAAGAGCAAGCTAAACACCTCTGACAAGTTGTGACGTAACAGGGTAGCAATCATTACATAGACTAGTGCTCAAAGAAATATCGCAGCGTATTATCAACTAGATTGAAGCAAAGGAAATGTACTTTTTAACTCATAGAATTTTTATATTGAATCAAGCTACATTTTCTATAGCAGAGGTCAAAGTGTGAAGTCCAGTCACCAAGTTCACAGGACAAAGGTCAAACTGCCCTCTTCTAATTATCTAAGAAGTTTTGGCATAATTTACGGTTAGAAATCTTTTACATTTTAAAAAAGTGTTTTTAAAGAGCGTAAACAACTGTCACAAAGAGCCAATATTTAGCTTATTTTGGTTTGCAGCAATTTTTGGTATCAATCTTCAAATTCGTCTTTGAGTAGAAATTTATGATCATTTTAGGCGCTAATCATACGTTGGAATTTAGCAATCCACCACAAAAGCACCAAAAATTTTCCTCAACATTTTCTTACCTCAACCGTTTTACCATTCATTGCCGTCAAAACATCTCCAGGTTTTATGGCATTCCCCGAAGGCATGTTTTCAGTTAATGCCATAAGACCTACGATATTGAGGTTCAACCCTAAACGACAGGCTGCTTCAATGCTGGCCACTGTGCAGGCAGCCCCACCCATGTCTCCTTTCATTTCTGACATCTTCGCTGAAGGTTTTATCGAGATCCCGCCGCTGAATGAGAATAGAGGAGAATGAATGAGATTTGAAGCAGAATTTCAAGAAACATGATAAAGTTTACAGTACACCAAGGGGTATCCATATTTTATGTATGCTCAGAGGTAAAGACAGTTGCAAATATGTAAAATTACATACGGGGGCGAAGGGGGGTTCAGGGAAAAACGCACAAAATGCAATCATCGCTTCATCATATATACAAAGAACAGCCTTCGATCTATAGCTAGGCGGTCGTGCAGTTTTTGTAATTTGTTTTACTCGTTGGTGAGAAATAAATAGTTCGCTCGTACATAAGTGATGAGGGGAGATGAAAAACAACATTAAACATGTTATGCAAAAATAATAAAATACTCACGTATCAAATGTGACACCTAAAAAATAAAAAGTATAGATGTATGAAATTGACAAAACTTATTCGCAACAAAATACGTAAAGATCTTCCGTCTAGATTCTGTGGTATTTTATAGTTCTTTAGTCCTTTAAAATGATTATTTGCAAACCTTTGCCAACAACTGCAACAGTTTTGTCCGCTGGCCCAGAGTATTTGATTTCGACAAGGACGGGGGGCTCTGTGGAACCTTGTGCAACTCCTAAAAAGCAGCCCATCTTTTTCTTTTCCATCCATTCTTTATCCCTGAAACATGTGACATCAAAACTATTGCATAATACGGGATTAGGAACAACAGCTATAGGTGAGCCTTTCAAACAACTAACGAGGCGCTTATGCAACATGGAGCGCTTATTCGAAAGGGGGCGCTCATATTCAAGGAGAGGTGCTCCTTCAAAAGGAAAGCGCTTTTTCGAGAGGGGTGCTTCATTTGAGAGGGGGGCTCATTCGCAAATGGTTGCTTGTTCGAATGGGGCCACTCCTAGGATTTACATTGTTTTAAGGCAGAGGTAGCCTTAACTTTTTTCAACCCTTTCGGCAGATCGAGACAAAAGAGCCCCTCTGAAACAAAGACTAAAATGTTAATCAATAATTTCACCCTATAAGCACTGTGGAGCTTTTCTAAATGCCTTCACTTCTAATACTTAACGGAAGATCAAAAACCAAAGAAATTCTCTGATTGCCAATGGCCTTAAACTTCCTTCGGGAGGATGGTGCATTTAGTGAACGCATTACCCAGAAAAATTTCAAATGTAAGATCTCTTGATGAAATTTCTAACTATTTGCTGACACTTGATGAATGGAAAAAGACCCACCTTATAACGACCTCAATTCCTTTGCAAGGTGCAAGCCTTTCCACCACGATATCAGCAAGTTTTCTAGGGGTCTTGTAGTTTGATGGAAGTTCCATCAAATATCTTGCAAAGTTTTGACAATCTGCCATTATAACTCCTCTAGACCAAGCATCGTTATGATCTGTTGCACTGTAAAAGACCGACCAGAAATAGATAGTATTTTAATAAAAGAACAAACAAAACCCAGATTAATCTTTGTTCCTTCAGCCTGATCAACATGAATCGTTTCAACATAACAACCTAGGTTTCAGCCATTTGTGCTGGACAAGAAACATTCTTTAAATACATTTCTCTGACATTGAGAATACACGAGTTGAGGGTGACAAAAACGGGAAGTCCTGACAAATTCCTACTTCTGATAAACAGGAGGGTTTTAATAAACAGGGGTCGACTTTTTTTGAAGCGAAAGTGTTGTTCAAGGTCATTTCAAGGAAATTTGAAATTTCGAAATTTAAGTCCAATTTTCAGAATAGGAACGCTGTAAAATAGAACAAGGGCGGGGCTTTCTTAAACAATCTCGAAATGGGCGCATTGTGTTTCCGATATTTTCTATGGCTTTAACAGTCAATTTCAAGAACGAATACTTTGAAAGCCATCTATATCAGTGGGAAAGGTAAATTTCGGGATGATGTGAAACAACAAGTCAAATATGTTATGAATTTGTTGTCCAGTTTTCCAGTCAAAAGGGATTTGAAATTGTGATTGACATGTCCGGGTATGAAATTTGATTGGTATGTATGAAAAATGTAAGTTAAATTTGCAATGACGAACAAGCTACAAACCTTTTGTCTCTTTTAGAAAGAACAAATTTCAATGGCTCCTTCTTTTTCTTTTTTGTCTTCAAATGGTCGAATTTGTATGAGCATAGAGTGGCTGCTTCGGCTGCAGCTAAAACGAAATTTCACGAAGCTAGAATATCCAGCAAATATTTGATAAAGCTATGATGCTAAGTAGCAAATATGAAATGGTACAGTTATACGTATAAGCCATATGGACCTTGTAGTAACACAAAGCTGGTCGCAAAATTCATTTTATTTCAAGCAATATTTTCACTCAATAATCTCTGCGTATAGGAAAACGTCCAGCAGAAACAAGGGATTCGGAGAAGTAGGGGTGTCAAGCAGCTTTCATGGAATGCGATGGATCTACTGGCAGAGTAACTGGAGGATTTGTCAGTGGAAATGTGTTGAATCTTTCACATCGGGTCCTTTCGAAAAAGGAAGTAAGTCTCCTTTCAAAGGGCTTGAAATTTTTACCGACTCCCACTGACCTGGAAAAAGGACAGATCAAGGCAGATTGGGACATTTTCAAGAGAAGCATGCATCTACGATGGTTTTTAGGGACACTGACTCGAAAACTTAAGATTCAATGGCTGCAATAGTTTTAAATTCAAATGTAAGCCCAGCTGGAGTCCTTCTGAAACTCATCCTTTGCTAGAATCCTATCATTCTCAACTAGAAAAGGAAGTGCTGTCTGTCCAGACAGAAGGTTATTATCACAGTAACCTATAATTGCGATAGGAGCATAGCTATCAAGGAAGGAACAAGAGATCAGTGATTGTAGTTTAGGACAGGGGGGACTATAAAATAGAGCCTAACCGACAATTAAGTGATAGGCAAGTTTATGAAGAGATTGAGGTGGGTCCCACGATAGAATTGGGAAAGGCCGTTAATATAAGGATTAATGAGTTGAGGGTGGAGGACCCCGTGTTAAGGGATTGTTTTAAGGTCAATGCGGGAAAACTAGGTAGATTTTATCTGTTGCCTAAGATTAATAAACGATTAAGTGGGGTTAAGGGTCGACCAGTCATTTCCAATTGTGGCACCGTTACAGAAAATATATCAGAATATCTAGATCACCACCTCAATCCACTGGTTAGCCTCGGTAGGTCTTACATTAAGGATACTAATCATTTCTTGTCTAAGTTAGGTGAAATAGGTAGGATACCAAGGGGGCTATACTGTGCACAGTTGATGTTGTGGAACTCTATCCTAGCATTCCACATGGGGAGGGTCTGGAAGCCATCAGGGAAGCGCTGGATAGAAGGGAAAGCCATTTGGAGAAGCATAGGAAGGTGTTTCCTGGGCCACCTATAATTGCTTTTAGAAGATATAAGAACCTGAAGGATATTTTGGTCAGGGCTAGGCTCAGTAATCGGGGACAAAGGGGCACACATACTAAGGGGTGTTCTGGTTGTGATAAAGCTCGTTGTCAAGTGAGTAATGTCATGAGTAACTGTGATGGTTTTAGGTCTAAGGTAACTGGTAAGGAATATAAGATAAATTACTCGTTTAACTGTGATTCGTCTAATGTGGTGTATTTGTTAGAGTGCAATGTTTGTGTTGTGCAGTATGTTGGTAGCACTAACACGCCTTTCAGATTAAGGTTTAAAAACTATAAGGCATGTAATCATAAGTTTAGTCAGGGATCCTCAGTACCGCAGGCGGAATTTTTCAGGCACTTTTCTGGAGAAGGCCACCGAGGATTTCTGCAGGATATAAGGGTTAGTATAATTGATAGACTTACTGGGGGAATAGTGTGCCGGAAAGCTTCTGGCAATATAAGTTAGACAGTTTTACTCTAGGCATGCTGGTACATAGATTTTAGATCATTTCTTTTCACTTTGCGTTTTATAATTTTATATTCATTTCGGTTTTTATTTCCTTCCACTAGAACATGTTTTTTCTTTACATTCTTTAGCCTCCTCAATTGTACCAACAATATTGTATTAACTCTATTGTATTAATTTTGTATATGTATGTATATATATTCCATACAATTATTTCCTTGAATACAACTTGATTTAACAGCAATTAAATTGAACCTCTAGTACAAAAAGATGAAAAAGAAATATTAACATAATAAGCCAGCATTTTCTTTGTGCAGTTGCTAACAGTTTCCAAGACTAATATGTTTCTTTACATAAAAATACACACTGCTATTTGGGGTATCGAACAGGATGGTTCTAAGTTGCTACTTTGAGTAGTTGCTTAATGTGACCATCAGGCAACTGCTCTATACACCAATTAGCATGTATGGCTCTGCCTATCAACCACTTTATGACAGACTGGTAAACAGTAATTTTCATTAAAAATTCACACCTGTAGGTTGTGAGCAGTGGTCTACTTCAGCATGTTCAACCTCCAAAGTTTGAAGCTGGTTTACAGCAGCTAAAAGACATTTGAGTTGTTAACATGCATATAAAACATAAATCAAAGGAAATTCTTCAGTCTGGTTTGCCCATATAGGACAGTCATATTGTAGAACATTAAATGAAGTTATGTAGACATGTATAAAGACATGATAACTGAAAGATAAAACTCTTGCACATTTCGCAGATTTTGCAGTTAACTGATTTTACTAAGGCATCTCAATGGGGCTCTAGCTGTAACGAGAATGCAATGACTAGAAAAATCCATTTTTCAGATGGTCTGCACATGAATTTGCCTTCAAAGACACAAAAAGAAAGCACGACTGTGCTAACGCACAGGAGAAATGGTTGTCCTGGGGTATTACAGATGAATCCCATTCTGCAACAATTAAATTCCTCTATCATTTCAATTTGCCATTAAGAAAATAAGACATAATCCTAAACAACAAACATTTACTGATTTTAGCAGAATAAGAAGGACCACGTATTGGTAGAAATTGGGAGGGTCATTCCCCCCCTACCCTGTCTCCATTCCTTGGCACTGCTGTTGATGATATGAAGATGAAAGTGCCCTTAAAAAGGCAAACAAATACAACCATAAGCTATTTACCATAGATCAAACAGTGCTGAATCAAACTACACTGTGATTATGCACATCAAGGCTTAACTATTAAAATTATGATTAAAAACAACTTGTTTTTTAGAGTTGATCTTTACAGATGATTTCAGTTGCCTTACCTCCAATCCCTACTCTCACATTCTCCTTTTGCACATCAAGAGCTTCAAGCTCATTTGCAGCTGCCTTTTCTGCCCCAATGCCAGCAACAGCAATACAAGGAAAATCCTTTAACATGATAAAAAAACCAAACAGTGCACAAAACAAAATAAAACTTGGTTAGTTTCCAGTAGTCTAGCAGTGAACACAGCTTTTTATACTACAGCTTCATTACACAAAAATCAGGTTGCTTCTCAGAATTATGAATAACATAGACAGAGGAAGTTTTTAAAAAGTGAGGGTTCAAAAGTTTAGATAAAACCAGGCTCTTCTGTGTGCTGCCGACTGGCACTTAATTTTTATTTTTGAAGAGTGGGGAGCATGTGTCTCCTGTGCCCCCTTAGTTCCCAAGATAAAATAACATCAAAGATGTATCAGTAAACTTTTTTCAGATAGGGTAATAATAAAACTTTTTTATACCTTATGCAAGCCATGAAAAACTCTAGTCTTGCCGGGCTTTGCTTTGAAATTTGATCTAGAAATTAATCACACTTGTGGAAATAAAATCAGCCTGGTATTTTCAAAATTAAAAATAAGAAGGTTTGCGTTCTTGGCTTCTTATCGGAAAACTTACAGATATCAACCATTCAACACCAAATTAAACAGACACATCATAAATGCTTTTGTCTTCCCTTTGGGTTTAGTTGGCACTGCTGGTGTTGATAATGTTGGCAATTGAGAAGGGGGCATCCTGTGATGATGTAGATAATTGGTCACTGACAATAAAAAATTAATACATAGACTATCATATACCAAATTATTGAGGTGGGGAGAGGGGTCATGGGGTCATAGGAAACCAAAGGAATGTTAACAATTGATCACTAACTACTTACATTTTCAACAATTCTGAAATTTTTCCTCCACACTGTTCATCTATTGCCTTGCCAACATCACTCAGAACCAGGTTGTCATGGCATCCAATAACAATGGCAGAGTGGGCATTTCGACTCTTAAGAGATAATAACATATATACAAAATTTGATGATGTAAACATCAAAACTTGTTTAGAATCATCATCATCTTGACTTATGTATTCACCTTGCGTCCTTGCCTCTTTCTTTGTATTGTCAACATTTGATGAACAATTTTTTGGCAGTAAATAACTTGCGAAAAAAGCAAACATTTCACAACATACTATTTAAAGCTTTTTCGTCTGACACTCAGGGTATAAAACGTCAGAATATTGAATATAAAAGGAATAATTATGAATAAAATATCGCAAGTTAGAAGATCAAATATTGTGAACGAAAATGAAATTATTTGTCGTATGCTAATACCCACATTGTTTGGTACGCATCTTGTTAAAAGACGCGACAACGAATAACTGAACGAAGCTTTTGCCCGAGACTGTCTTCGAATCACGATACACAGCGCCATTTTGGTTGAAGGTATCTTAGAATAGCAACAACAACACTAGAAACAACAACTGGGCCTCGTTTCTCTTATCTAATTGTTTTTATCTAACAGGAAGCAGAAATAAACAAGTCTTTTGGGACAAAAAGAGCAAGAAAATTGATATCCTTTTATCTCTGAGCACCAATAATGTTTTTAACCGAGTTTGATTAAAAAAAATAGATCGGTAGCATCAGAAGGCAGAAAATGTGCAGCAAAGGGCAGCAGCAGCAGCAACAACAATACCCAAAACAAATTTTGGGAATGGGTCTTGTCACTTCCTTTTGACAGCAAATGGTCAAAGCGCGAGGAAGATACAAGGAGTGCTAGTTATGAAGTCGTTCTTGTTTTATATTATTCTCTTTGCTTTCTTAAAAGGTAATTCAATTATTTTTTTCTAACTGAGTCATGCGTCTCGTTGTTTTATTTTTTGTTGAAGTTTGGGCGTTTTTTCTATATAGCCTTGTTGTGATGTTATTATGATGTGGGCTGCATGCATGCAGTTTTATGACGAATCATGTGATAAGCGAGTAAAATAGAAACTTTGAGCGTCAGGTGTAAGCCGCTCAGAAACACAGTTTCTGACCCAAGCAAATATTGACAATTGACAAATTTCAGGTTGGTCGTTGTTGCCTCACATTCAGTTTATTGCAATTATGAAATATTTCGAACAAGAGCATTCTAGCTAACCGGTGACTTGATTCTGTATATTCTGACAAAAAATCGAAATCTGAAATTAAAAGACTTTCGTCATTGTAAAAAGGTTCTAATTAGTATCATGGGCTTCTGGCATAGGTTGGAAAGTTGGGAGGAGGGGGGTTTAGCACCCATAACAAAAGATTTTGAAGAAAAGCACTATTGTTTCGCAAAAAATGTAGGGACATAGCACCCCTTCTTGGAGGCCCTGAGTTTTGGTTGGTGGTTTCTTCAGAGGCTCCTTGTAAACTGTATTGCTTTTCATTGGATCCTGAGTCAACTGATTTCATTATTTACATCAAGTTTTTTCATTCTGCATTTGTTTTGAAACAATTGAATAACGTTTTGAAACAAAAAATACAGTTTTCTTTTGATTTATTAACCGTTTTATGCACAACGTTATGGTTTAATACACAAAATTTTACAGTAGGACACCACAGTAGCTTGACAGGTATGCACTAATTACTCCCCTGTTACTAGTTTGATTAGGTCAGATAAATGTTAGAGACATCTCACAAGTATCAAAGTATCACAAGTATCTCACAAGTAAAGCAACTTAATAATAATATGCTCATATCGAAGTTCCAGATGTTGCTTTTGGCCAAGACTGTTGCCAAAAGTTATCACTGCCAAATGAGTGTCACTTTCTTTGTGGAACAAGAGAAGAGAGTTGGTGGAGTTTGACAAGGTGGAGATGCATGCATCAACATGGAGCAGAGGTTGCAAACTGCAAGATAAAAGCAAGCATTGGTGGGTAACTTTTACTCAGTGCTTATATTGTTGTCATGTGGCAAACAGTCCACTGAAAGCTAACTCTTTAAGGCAGTATGTCCTAACCCATTTCAATGGCCATTTAAAATCCCGTTGGTTGGGCTTATAGCTTTATTGTAGCATACCCAATGGGAAATGTAAGGCTAATTCTTAAACGTTTTTTTCAATCAAAAGGTCTTCCAGTGCAGATTGTTAACTCCGACTGGTTTAATGGCAAGATATAGTGCCTTTATTTTCAAATTGCATTTTCAATTAGCTCTCAGTATTTGTAAGTTTATGACTACTTACAGTAAGTTTATGAGCAAATTTGAACATTTTGGACACAAGCATTTTTGATAATGGACTATGATGCACAAGATTCATGGCATACTCTTTATTAAATAGGCTCATCTTTTACTCTATTGACACATTGTAGAATATGTGACACTTCCTCTTTTTAATTTTTTTATATATTCTCATCAAATCAAAAGATTCACAAGTTTACCAGGCAATACCACAGGGAGCATTGGAATACATATAAACCCTGTGGCAATTTACAATTAACATATTAAACCAAATTAACTACAATTAGGAGATACAAAACTCTTATTTCATCAGCCATAAATTATCTAATCTTTGTTTGTTTTTGGTCTTAAAATGTTACCTTTGCCTTTAGGATTGATGTTAAAAATTGTTCATTCTAGATTATGTCAAGGCATTTGGACAGGATTTCACAAATACGTGAGAATTTTTAGAAGAAACGCTATTTGAATCTACCTAGTTACAAATAAGTGTGAATCTACAAATTTACAAATCATATCAACAAAAGATTTTCACACCCTAATGCTTGCCATATACACTAACAAAGTTTTTCAGAGCAGTTATTTGGTGCATTGAGGTATATGATTTCTCTACTGTAAGAGCTTTTCTAATCTACTCCTTATTTCCTAGAATTTAAAGTTTTGTTTCCTTTCACTTGACATTTTAATAAAATTGAATCAACTCATATGCTCTGTGAACATTATTGAAATTTCAAGGCAATAAAAGTTTGGATAGTTGCTAAAATCTGGATTGTTGTCAAAAAAACCTGCTTGTGACCATATCAGAAGTTTTTAGCATAGTTTTAACCAACCAACTCCCCTGTGATATACAGAAACTCTCCTTAGGCTCACTCTGTAACTAGTATTTTATGCCTTGTTTGCCTTTGAAAGACTACTCTATAAGTCTAATAATTAGTTGAAGTAATTTTCAATCCAGTTTTCTTGATAAAATGTTATGTCTAAAGTGATTGTTCTTTTAATTGTGTAGCATCCAGAAAAGCTTCAACAAGCTCTCTACAGCTTTACAAGCAAAGCTTTCTGATGCATCAAAATTTGCTACAGCCACTGCTGAAGAGCTAAAAACAGTTTCTCAGGATGTTCTGTCCTCGCTGGTAAGATGAAATTCAGCTTAGTTTCACTTAGCTACCCAATGAGAAATTGACAATAGTGCGGCTTTACAAAAGACAAATTCTTGAAAAAATTTCTATTACCATGTGTTGTCTTTTAACTGCAGCGCTTAAGTATGTAATGATGTAAGTCTGCCAGTCACAAGCAAAGCCTGATAGCAAGTGGCAAACATCCAGCACATTGCATGTAACTTTCTTCATGAGTAAATATTCTCAATAATACGAAATTACAGCAATGTTTGTCATCATGTCCTTTTGTTTCAAGAATATGGTCTTTTTTGCACAATGTTGTTAAGAATCCTTAAAGCTTTTTCAACAATTGTACTTGAAGAGGGCGTTTCCTACTTGCCTGAGTGGCTGATGGGCACGGTCACAGAAAATTTCTTTAGGGGAGTATTTTTGTGAAACATTCCTATGCCTGAGCTGGCTGTAGATGGCCTGCTTACAAAGAGAAGTGATAGGTAGCAGAGAGCTACAGAACTTTCATTTTTGATGCTTTTTTGATGTTTTGATGCACTTTGGTATTGAGATAAGTATGTTTAAGATGTATCCCTTTTATCAATGATAGATCTATAAAGTAATTGCCCATTTATTTCAGACCACAGTGTCACAGATGACAGTTACACAATTCAGAGGCCTTGTTCCAAGATTCAAATCATTCTCTGCTGAAAATTTGAAGATTCTCTTGAATAAAATCAACATTGATGTAATTTTCCAGAACATTCAGGATTTAGCTGTAAGTCTTGTATTACGTCAAATGAGGCAAAGCCTGCATAATATTTCATTCTCTAATTTTAGGGGGTGGTGCTGGGAGGCATGCAGTTCTATAATTTTTTGCCCCTATATTCACAAGCAGTTTTTATGTTTGCACTAAAACTTTGTTGTTGCTGTTTTTGTTGTGGCTTTTGGTTTTAGATCAGTGCCACATGTTTCATGTTTTGGTTAGTTTTAGGGCCTTCAACAAAGTATTTTGACGGAATTTAACATCAAATGAACCTTTTTTAGGTAGGATTATTATTTTAGCACAGGCATTCTGTCAAAATGCACCCAATATCCTCAATCTGCAGAAACAATGACTGATGCTATGACACTTTATTGCAAATGCAAGCTTGAAGTACTTGATAACAGTATGCAATCCCCTGTTTAAAGAAGTAAGAAATGGGATTTTTTGATTCTCTAGAAAGAGACATGGGATCTTGCTCAAGTCAAAATAATTTCTTCAAAAGTCTATCAGAAATATGGTAAAGACATTGCCAAATGGACCTCTGCACAGTTTTCATCACTTGGAAATTTGATAGCTGGAATACCCTCCTCTGATCTTGCAAAAGTTGCTGCAAACACTTTTGACAAGAGGTATGTTTTGCCATAATAATCATGTTCACTCTGATGCAAGTTTAAAAATTCTCATAACAAAATTCAGTTTACCTATCTTCTTTTGCTTTATTTGACAAAAAGCGAAGGAGCATAGAATTTTGAAATTTAGTGCTTTTTATGCTTGTGAATGGATTAGTAAATGACTTTTTAACTATGTTCTCTGACTTGTTAATTATTTTTCAGTCTAACATCCATTTGCAAAGCAAGGCTAAAGGTTTATCAGAAGATTAGTTTGATAACTCCTGCTACAAAAGCCTTTGGTAGCTTGTCAAACTGGACTAGCACTCAAATTAAACAGATGTGTAATTTAGTTGAAGCACTAACCCCAGAACAAATACTGGAATTGTCTGCTAAAGAGGTAATATTGAGAATCGATGTTAATTTTTTTTGGCAGCAAGCAATATCTGAGTCTTCCTTTACCAGCAACAATGTGAATCTAAAAGAAAACGTTCCTCTTAAAATTTCCTTTGAAGAGTTTTTAATATTTCATTTCCAGACACACTCGCCATTACTCACTCGTTATTTCCTTTTTGCATATTTCTTTTTACATTATTCCATTTTCGTTTTTAGATCGTAAAACGTATGACGTTCTTAGATCATCCCTCATTGTTTTTTGTTGTTCCTGCCTATTGCTCGTGCATGTATTGCTTTTCTGAAATAATTATGAGCTTTAATTAGTGTTTTGCATGGAACCAAGATAGCGCTGAGATGAAACCGATATGTTGCACACATAGCTGATCAAATTGGGTTTCTGAAAGTAGCGAGTTAAAAGATTTTGGGTGCATTGTCAAAGGGAAATGTTCTCAATTTTTCCACTTTTTGTTGAAGAAAGAAAAGAGAGAGGAAAATGGGTTCGAAAAATAAGTTGAAGATTCGGGTTTGCAGTTGAGTATATTTTACTTACCTGGATATTTTATTAGTATCAACTCCTGTTTTTTTTTCATTAATCGGATATATTACTTTATCGTGGTTCCTTGTAGATTTCTGATGCTATCGACGGCCTGAAAAGCCTCTCTTTCAGCGATACACAACTGGATGCGCTGTTAAAGAAAGCCAAAGACCAGTACGGACAGATATCGTCATGGACGCTGTCGCAATTGCAGAACATAGGGAAGATGGTTAAGGGTCTTAGTGCTGCAGATATTCGAAAGATCGACAAAGAGAAAATTAAGGTTTGGAGAATTTGGTTGTGGAGATATTTGAAATCAAGCCGTTAATCTTCGAATTGCCCAATTGTTCCCTGCTTCAAATAAGCCCTCCCTCAAATAATCCCCCACCCTTACATGCCAATTTTTGCGTTACAACAATTTCACGTGGGGGGGGGGGGGGAGCCGAGTATATGATATTCTAGTACATGACTGATAATGCATGCAATCAGCGACTGAAAAAACTACAAAAACGAAACATTGACTAAAGGACAATGAAAATATCAATGTTTTGGAGAAACTTTTTTTTGAGCTTTGATTTATACCTTTTTCATATATCTTTAAAAGTTTTTCAAGTAAATTGCAACCTTGAAAATCTGAAAAAGGTATCAAATGAGCTGTTAGTATTACAATACAACTTGTAGATGATTTTTATAACCCCCGTTTAGAATACGCCCCCTCGAATTAGCCCCCATGTAAAAAGTTTCTAAATTAATCTGTAAGTGCATAAATGTCCTATCTTTTTATATTTTTTCTTCACTTTCTCTAGACTATGCTGACTGGACTTGGAAATATCCAGTGGGATATTGCGCAAGTCAGGAGACTGGGTACTAAACTGAAGGAAGCTCTAGGGGCTCCTGACAAATGGACGTCGGCAGATCTTGATAAAGCAAAGACGTTGCTGAAGGGACTTGTTGTTTCGGAGCTAGAAAAGATTGACAGCACGGGTTTGAAAAATTCCCTGAGAAATCTAAAGCCAGTCGTTTGGACTATGGACCAGGTATTGTTGATGATTTCGTCAGTTGTGTTAGTGGAGCTTAACATTTTTGACGGTATTTTTAACGAATTTTATTCCATCGAAATTAGATTTAATATTCTTATTGTTCTTACGATTGATTCATAAGGTCTCTGGTCAAGGACTTTCATTTTTAGTAAAATTTTGCTGTGTACCTAATTCAGGTGCAGGAGCACATCAGTTGATATCATTTAAGGTGAAAAATGATTTAAAATAGGTTCTTCTTGATTTATTACTATGGCTATGATTCATCAGATGAAAACAGGGAGAAAACAAGGCAAGGAAGTGGTAACTGATTTATAAGAGTTTTCAATACATAATTTAGACAAACATTGCTTTTTGCAGCTGTTCTTTTCTAGTGCGTTGAAATTGGAATGATCTGAATTCAGCTTTCTTTTTTAGGGTCTTACTGCTAGCTAAAACTTTCTTCCTTTTTTAGTCTCAGGTCATCCTAGGAAAAATCAAAGAAAAAGTCACTGTAAGTAACGTTTGCTTTCAAGTGTTTTTCAAGTTTTTCTAACCCCTACTGTTCGAGAAATAAACAGAGAAGTGTGAACAGAGCCGTTAAGACTGGTTATGGTTTGAAACCAATGGTGGACACTTTGTCAAATATTGGGGTGGGGGGGGGGTGGGGGCAAGCCTATGATTTTGGTAAGATGATGTCACATTTTTCCATTGTTTTAGAACAAAAGACCATTACCTTCAAATATATTGGGGAAGAACTGACCCCCCTCCCCTCGCCCGCAGCTGCCCGCCACTGTTTAAAACCAAATTATTGTCTTTGACCTTCATTACTTTATTCAATGCAGAAAGTCTCGCGTGCTACCTTATTTGCCCATGGCTTCTGCCAATGTTCTTTGAAGACTTATGTTCACATTTCATATCATTGAATCCAACCTGTTCGCTTTACTTAATTTGCTTTAAAGCCATTTCAAATGAGACATTGTGCATATGGATTGTTTTGGTTGTAGCTGGACAGTCTTACAAAGGAGGATGTCTTGGCCTTATTTAACACAGTAGATGCCTGGTCTACATCTGATGTTGGCAGATTTTCCCAAACTGTTCTCTTTGCTGTGTTTCCTGAGCTTCTTATTGTTAAGACGATCGCCACTCCAGTTTTGAGACAGTTCATAAGAACTGTAAGTATGGCAAAGCATTTATGGAAAGCTATTTTCAAGTTTTTGTTGAACTGAATTTATCTTGTTCTGATCATAATCAAATTTTTTATGCACTTTTTCTTGCATCGGTCAAAATTTATAATCCTCCATGCTACTGTGATTTTCCATATTTATTTGTATGTCGAAGTACAACTTGAACGTAAAACTTGGATAAGAAATTTGAAGCGCAAAAACTTTCGACTTGTATGGGTGGAATCATCTTGTATCAGCAGAAGGCAGCTGTAGTAAGCTGTAGCATGCCGAAGTCATTTTTAAATGAAGTGTCTTACCTTTAACTGCATCCCTACGTTCTAAAGCAAAATGTGGTACAGTTTGCTGGTTACTCGAATATAATCTAGCAAGCTACGTTGAGACGTTGCTTATGTTTTTGTTCTTTCTCCATTAGGATCGGACTTGGGCTTGGGTCATATTAGCCTGCGCGCAGACTCGATAGGCTCTCCCAGAGATGAATTTAGTTGAATGGAAAATTTAGGATAGACACTGAATTTTCCAATCAACGAAATTTCCAATCAACTAGATTTATCTCTGGTAAAACCAGTCAAGTCTGCGCGCAGGCTAGGGGCATATAAGAACTCAGGCTTAGCTTATCTGAGCCAAGTTCAGGTTTTCGGTGTACAGTTGTTTGTACCAAGCCTAGGGTACATCGCATGCACAACGTGAATTCATGCTTAAATGATTCTATTTCCAATTCACTGATTCAATCTACATAGGCAGCTACCAAATGCCTATTCTTTTGTTCCAGTATAAGCAACAGCCAGGTAGCAAAGACATCAGCGTGCTAAAAGGTTTAGCGCAAGCACTAACACGGATGGAACTCAATGAAGCTGTGGTAGCAGACATTGTAGTTACCTTAGAACAGCTGACGGGCAATGACTGGGATGAAGCACAGGTATTTTACTGGAATATATTTCATAGAGAATTTATCTTGCATGATAGTAGTAAGTTTGCTTCAGCAAAGCCAGTTTAAATAAGTATTTTAGATTCGTTGATATCGCATGTTGAGGCAATGACCTTGACCTTTGACCCTTGAAATATCTGCATTTAGGCTAGCTTAAATGTTTAAAATCTGTTAAAACTTTTTGAAACGTTTTCCTGCATAGAATATTTCCTTTAATTTTATTTGAATACAACCAATTTGAATGTTTAATAGGTTATGCTATTGCAGTGAAAGGGCCATGACTTGACCTTTCACCTTCCAAGTTGCTCGATAAACTAATAAACCGTGAAACTCGAAGAAACTCGACTTAGCAACTTAGAAACGCTGGTTGCTGTGTAAGAGCTTCTTTGTCTGTGAGTCTTTGAGTTGCAATCGTCACACAACGAGTGGAACATAATCTAGAACATTTTTCATAAATTCCCTCAATGATGTTGATTTTCTCTTTCCAAGATTGTAGAGTTGATGGTCAAAGTTCGATCAAAACTTGGCAACCTTAACCTTACCGAAACAATAGACAGTGACTCTCCACCATGGGGGTCGAAGAATCTTAAGAAACTAGGGAAGGTCATTCTTGGTCTCACGAAGGACGAACTGAAGATTTTTCCAATTAGAGGGATTGAAGATTCAGTGGAGGTCATGGGAAAGCAGTCAGGATGGAGACGGGGCCAGGTATTACTATTGTTCTCTTATTTTGTCTTTATGAATGTTGGTCTCTTTTACAGAAATACCAAATCTAAAATGACCGACAAGCTTTGAAACCTGGAGCTACAACTTCAGCCAATCAATGCTAAAAATTTGCAACCCTTTCGCTTAGATATATATCTGTCTCTCTGCTATGTTAAAATCCAGTCGCAATACTAGTGATTTTTATGCGTGTTTTTTTCAAATTGCTGTTTGCCTTTTTATGGTTTGTACATTTACTTCACAATTTCATTGAGAATATTACCAAACTAATTATAATCCAGAAAACATTCACTCCTAAGCGAATATTAGTTTATGTTAAAGTCTCTCCCTTTCCCGCTTCAGCCCATACATCAAAGCAGTGTATATTCCTGAGAAATGTCATTTCTAAATTAGAATAGCAACTCAGGGAAATGCAGCGATGGCGGTCCCACATGCAACCGTGGCGGACAGCTAGAAGGCGAAGGAGAGGGCGGTTCCACAGTAATGAGAAAATGGGCTTGCCTCCCCCCCCCCACCCCCCAATTTTTTATCAAGTTTCTGCCACTGCATGCAAACCCTTTGAATGATATAAAAGCTGAGACTGTTGTTTGTAAAGCCTGTACTAAGTTTCATAATTGATTCTAGTAGAAGCAGCTCAAATCGAATAACAATGTTGTAAACAATTTCAGATTATTTCGATGATTTTGAGGTTCCGCGAGTACATGGCATTCCAAAACAAAACCATTGAAAATCTTGGTGAGCTGGACCTCGAGACACTTGGTAGCCTTGTGCAGGGTTTTGCAGCGAAGGAGCTCAAGACATTGCCGCAGTCTGCGTTGAGTGTTGCTATCAAAAAGCTTGGAGAGACGTCTGGGTTGCCGGAAGACAAATTGAAATCATTTGCATTTACAGCCTTAGAGCATTTCAAGGTGAGTTACTTTTTGTACCCACAATAATTGGGGCCGTTTGAGTATACTGAGCTAACATAACCTTGCTCAATTTCTTTTAAAGAACAAATGGTGCAAACAAACGAGGAAGGTAATTGGCAGAGACGTTCACCAGTTCCAAGGCTCTTGGCCCTACGGAACAAGGGGGGGATTCCATAGCCCCTACCTGTCTCCCTACCCCTGGCTGATAGCAACAAGCTTTAGCCCCTTTGAATAAATGACATTTCATGCTAATTGTTTTATGGATAAGGCAGCAGCTAAAAACAGAAGCTAAATTACTTTCTTGTTTTTTTTATCATACATAGACTATGCGGTGGTTTAGTGCTAGGGGGCTGAGCCAAAAATGTCAAATTTCTACTTGTGCTATTTTTCGCAACATTTGTGCAATTTCACTACACCACTCACTCTGGGATTATGTCTTTTGAAAATGGCACAAAATAGCGGAAACACGGCATACTGAAGCACTTTTCGTCCGACAATCTTAAGAATATAGACATGGTATATTGATCAAAGGTAAGCAGAAAATTTATATCCAGATGTGAATCAAATGCGCCTTTCTTTCTCTCACGTTGCTTTAGATCCACACCTAGATATAAATTTTCTGCTAATTTCGGTCAATATCCGACGTTTATACTCTGAAGAGTGTCGGACGAACAGTGCTTCAGTGTGTTATGTTTTCGCTAATTTGTGTCAAATTTTGCGGTACCAAAAATTTACTTGAATGGGCTGTAGACTAATTCTTCTATGCCATTAAGACTGCAGCTCCCTTGTTTTGGGCGTAATAATTTCTAAGTTTATTCCAGATCAGTAGCAGAAACAGACTTATGCTTTCATGTTAACATATCGAGGTGCCCCCTAACTGTTCCTTTTATTGTAGAATAAATCTGGCGTTGACATTTTGGATACGAATCAAGTTAAATCGCTTGGGAACCTCGTGGTTGGTTTAAGCAAAGAGGCTCTTTCAAAGATAGGGAAAAATGCTTTTTTGAGTGAAGTTTACAATATCGCTAAAAAGCCAGGAATGACCAATGATAAATTCAAAGAACTGATAAAGCTCGGGAAAAAATACTTCGGGAAGAGGTTTGTATCTCTTACAGTCAATAATATAGGAGTTTTGCCAACACCTTTTTTAAAAACATTATCCATACCTATTGTTACTCATATATGTACATCATAAGAATTGGGTGATTTTTAAAACTTCCTGAAATTGCGTTATGAATCTTTATTGCGGTGATCGATAAGGCTCTCGTCAATTTAATGATATGTCCAAACTTGTTTGGACTCGCAATCCTGTATAAATTTTGCAAGTGACAATTTTTATCATTTGGCCTCATAAATCTCCCTTCTCTAAGAATATGAATGAATGAGGGATTCGTCACTAAGATCATAAAGTGCACATTTAGAGCGCACATGGAAAGGAACTGTCAGGATAAATTTTAGTGATCTTAAACCGAGGAGGCTAGAGCAAGCTAGTTACAAAACTTCCAAGCTACTATGTTTGCCAAAATCTTTGTTCAGTTCACTTGATTTTTTATTTTGCACGTTGTCAATAGCAACCCCTCTCCCTTCAAACAATGTTGCTTTATAGAATTTTAATATCACATGACCTTGACCTCTGACCCCTGAGTCCATGACCTTGACCTCTGACCCCTGAAATAAATGGCTTTAGGCTTCTCTCCGGTTCTGTGTGGTACGTCGTTCTACAAAAAATGTTTCTTGATCTGAATGGGAAAGATGCGGTGTCGACTATTAGCTTTTCAGAACAACACTTCATCAACAAGGCGTTCCAGTGACGTTTGGTTAAGACTGAACAAATATGTTATTTGTTAATTTCGTTTAGTGATGTCGGTCAGTGGCTTGGGGAACATTGGAAGAAACTTGGACCTGCAATAAAAGGAATGGATGCCGCAGAGATCATGCGCATAAATAAGGAAGCATTTGATGACGTCATTGACTACTTTGGTGAAATTGATGGCTGGACACCAGAGCAGGCGAAAGCGTTTGTTTTGAAGGCGAAAGATTATTGGAAAGAGAGAGGTAGCAATTCTTCAGCTTTTACCCAGACTGCATCATATAGCCAGTGGGAGCAGTACTGTCCTAATAATTTTCAAGTCATTGATATTGCCAATCGCTATGCCAGGTTCCACTGCTGTTCACAATGTTGAGAAAATCGTTATGCTATATGAGAAAATTTTATAAAATTTGTGCTTGTTATACCCGTGTTAAGAGTCACAATGTGTGTTGAAAAAAGCTCAGTCCTCTATTTTGTTTCAGATCGGTATGTGGTGTGAGAGATGAAATTCACTGTTATGAACATACCTTCGTTCTTTACAATTTCTCCCTGCCACACCCAAGAGTTTTCTCTGTTTAAGTCCAAATTTGTAATTAAATTCTGTTGCCACTACACTTCACCCCAAATATTAATTTCAGATTGAATATTGCATGCTTATTCTATTGACTGTTTTTCATCCTGCTTTAGATGTAGGCAAATGGACTGGCGCCCAACTCAGGAGGCTTGGCTCTTTAATCAACGGTCTTTCCGCGGATGAGATTTTACGGATTGCAAAGAACAACTTCAAAGACATGATTGGCAGCTGTGCGCATGTCTCTGATCTCAACGGTGCTGTTTCGAAAGCTTTGATTTCCAGAGCCAAACAGGTCAGGCTAATGCAACTAACCAATGCGTAGTCTGTTTTCAAGATTTTTGATAACCTCTTGGTACAAAGTTTCGGGGCCTGGGTTCATGAATACACCTCAAAATTCTTACTTGGTTTGTTTCTACCTTGTTTACTGCTGGTACAAAAGTGAAAACTGGTAGACGGCTACATAAATTTAACAAGCTTAACTTCTCTGCCCTTTTTTACAATCAACCGTGAAATGTACCTCGAAATTTTAATGTTTCTTGTCACATAGTCTACATTTTGAAGAATAATTTTGTAGATATTGTGTAGGTCATTGGTCAAAGATCACGGGTTAAGGGGTCAGAGGTCAGATGCTAGACGATACTAATTGACCAAAGGTCAGAGGCTAGACGACAGTTCATGATCAGTGGTTTTTTCTTTCGCTCTAGAGTTAGAGTTTAGCGGACATTTAATGGTCAAATGAAACAGAAAAATGGACACTTATTTATCAGATTGTATTACTACCCAATGCATAGAAGAATTTGATGCGGCCATGCTCGATTATTAAGTATCTACCACAATAATCGAAGTTCAATTTATAGGTATTGGCAAACGGTGATGCAGCTAAGTTCAATTTAACAGAGATAAAGCTACTCGGCTGTGCCTTAACTGGTTTGGATACAGATGATCTCAAGAAGCTAAGACTTGATATCGACGTCATTGCAGAGCTCGGCAAACACACTGGTTGGAATACAGAGCAGGTATGCTTCTGTTTCATCAACACACATTATCGAATCGACTGCAGAACTTCTATATTCGAACTAGATCGGATCTTTTTTATGCATCACGAAGGATATAGTACTTTAAACCGTTTATCAACAAAGAATTTCTTCAACTATCTATTCATAGCACAAAAGCAATGACTAAGCCTGCCTAAATTTCTAATACTTTGAAAGATAGCCTCATAATTTTGAATGTTTATCTTGGACTATGTCAGCCAATAGATTGTTAGGAAATTCAGATCTTATCCGACCTATCACCTAGTAATAAAGTACCGTACCTTTGTCCTTTTCTTTCTTACTCCCTTATTTTATGTGATAGCCATATTAGATCAAAGACATCAGGAGATATGGGAAGGAGTTAATTGGGAAAGATTTTCTTTGACTATTTACTCACAATGCAATAGACAATGGCTCGATATCAACAATCAGTTTGTTAGATGATTAGGACTCTACCATGCGTATGAACCTACCTATAGTACCTACACCCCCCCCCACCCCCCACCCCCCCAAACAGACTCACGATGGAGGACGCTAGATGACCAATAGGTGCAGCCAGAACAAGCGTGAAATTGCAACAATGATTCAATTTTAAACATTCTGTTTCATATAATTCAGTTTGAGCTCTTATTAGTGACAAACTTGTCTTCATAGCTCAAAGTCCTTGCTGGGAAAGTGAAGACTTTTCTTCAAACCAATGTCAACAAGGAAAACTTAATGAGTATTGGAACTCTAATCAAAGGTTTAACTGCTGATGATATCAAGTCACTAACAAGTGATTCGTTCAAGTGAGTCCTGTTAATAGAATGTTTTTTCGAATAACAGTATAATCCCAGTAACTCGAATCCCGATAACTCGAAATCCCGATAACTCGAAATCCCGATAACTCGAAATCCCGATAACTCGAAATCCCGATAATTCGAAATCCCGATAACTCGAAATCCCGATAACTCGAAATCCCGATAACTCGAAATCCCGATAACTCGAATCCCGATAATTCAAACTCATTGACTCGAACTGTTTTTATTGAAGATATGCGCTTTCTAAAAGACTAAGCTGGAGCATATGTCTCGACTTTCTTTAATATTCTTAAAAATATCCCATTACGTAAATAACAACGAACGGTCAATTTAGCAGCTTGCAAAGTATATACCTCTAAGGAAAAAGTTGTCTTATAATGCCAATGAGAGCCATTGATGGTCAATGTCAAAATTGCATAAGGCAGAACATAATCTCTGGAAAACTCTTAGGTTTCTAAACCAATTCACAAATTTTTTTTAGGAATTTGTTAAAATGAATTTTAAAAATCAACAGCCCTGAGGTCGGCCTCTGTCATTTTAACCTTATTATGGCCCTCATTCAACCTTCAGTCTAACCTGAAGCTATCTATACCAAAGTCTTAACTCCATTTCAGATATGCACTTGGAAAGATTGGGAAGCTCAGTGGACTAAGCGAAGAGCAGATCAATGCCTTAATACTTAAAGCCAAGGAGGCCTGGGGCTCTGACGTCAGTACATGGACGGCTGCTCAAGTGATCGAGCTCGGAAACTTGTTTAGTAAGTATGGATATGGTAGAATACAGCAGTAAGACTTAAGCAACGAAAGTCGTAGCTAGTATGACGTCATTTAATAAAGACTCTAGCCACCATCAGTGAAGTTTTTAGAAGACTATGTAGTCAACATGCATTTTTAAATGCCCTCTTTCATGCTAAATTTTTTTGTATTTTTCACTATCATCGTCGTCCCTATTCGATCGATCGTGGAATGTCTGCAGCTACTTTTCCAGGCATCTCTGTCATTAACCGTGCATACTGCTCCGGTAAAATCTCTTAAGCAATGGTAATTGTTGAATTAAATTTCTCAGGCGGTATGAAACCAGAAGATATCCCAAAAATCGATAAAGATGCAATTGATCAAATCAAGATTTCAGCTTTAGGAAAGATGACGAAAGATCAGATCAAGGTTTGTCTCTGTTAAACTTTGGTTTTGTTATGAATTGCTTTGTCCAGTCAATGTGTTGTTGTTGGATCTTCCAACCCCTCTGAAGCATACTAGAATTGTTTGTATACATAGGAGTACATTCTGTATCAGGTGTCCCTTTTGGTATGCACATTGCCTCAATCTCTTAGAGTGTGTTTACGGAGATGGAGTCACAAATTCTGTCAAAATGCATCAGCTCATTCTGTGGAAGGATTCATTTTTTTTAAAAAAAGAAATCTATGGACGCTTTAACGAATTCTTAAGAAAGGTGAATGTTTTGTAGAGAATAAGGCTCTGATCGAGTGAAAAAAGGTTCCAGTTATTGGGTAGTTGAATTATTTAATATTCATTTCAGAGCAAGTGACATTTAAAAGAATAGTAAGACCTTTACTTCTGTATGTGGTTCTTTACTTAAAAAAAACATTTAAAAATATAGTAGATCTATAGTGAATGACTTCTTAATGAATTTTAAAATCAAGAAATAACACCCTTGAACTATGCTAAAATAACAGTTGAAATAAAGGAAGTCATGATGAGATCTTGAATGTTTTGATCGTAATATGACTCTATAGACAGTAAGGTATGGATTTCTGGTAACTGATTTGTGCATTTTTGGCTAGGCATTCACAGTGGTGCAGTTAAAATCGATGGACTCGCCCCAAGCTTATGCGCTAACGGCAGAGCAAAGATCCGGACTGTCCGGTGCTCAGTTGAGTGCACTTGTCTCGGTAGAACAATCAGATCCTCAGGAACCGGATCCCTGGGCGTGCAAAGGTATGTTGTTTAGAATTGAAAATGTCTGCTTGGCTTTCAAACATCTTCGAAAGCTACTGTGGAAAGCATTGAACGATGGATCAGTTTCGGTGTGCATTGAAAAGTAACCAAAAAATAATAAGTATTTCTTGGTTCACTGAATTCCAAAAAAAGTTTATAATATTTGTTAGAGAATTTTATTAAAATAAGAACAATAAGAAATTTGATTTTCTAAAGTACCAAAAGGGCCTATGAAAATGAAATTTAAACAATCACAATTCTTTGTCTTGTGTTTTGCAGGTGTGTGTGCTGGGGCAACATCTATTTTTTCACCATCGATTTTTATGGTGCTACTGTGGACATTGGCCCAACTGTTTTGGATTCACCATTAAAGAGCCACACTCAGGCAATCAACTTTGAATCCTGGCAGGGCCTATCATATAATTGCTAGCTGGTCTATCACAAGTACAGTATACCACTTTTTAAAGCAGAAGCTATTTAATTGTACTAATAGGATAATTCATGATTTAAAGATAAAAACTTTTGAATTGTCCAGTGGAGCGGAATGGCGTTGGATGAACGTACATTCCCACTTACATAGAGGCTTTCTTCGTAGTTTGTTTGATTTTTTAGAAATTTCATTTTTATTGAAATTTAAATTCAAAAATGTTGTTTTCATATAAATAGTGATTCATAACGTTATTTTCAAATAAATCCTTACTCAAATAGAGTTAATACGCCAATGTTCTTGACTAGGGAAAGGGGGGCTTCAGTAAGAAGTAGATTTATAATTAGTGAATATCATGTTGAATAAACTCAACTTTTATAAAAAAACTTTGTCTTAAAACTTTTAATGTTTCTTCTAATGTTTTTAATGTTTGTATGAAATCTCCTTAAGACGACACAGTGTCCCACTGAATTTGCTATTTTTAAGGGGACTAGAATTCAAATGCTGCCAGAAATGATGTTTGTCAGCTCTTCAGCATAATATTTACAAAAGTTTTTCAGCAAGCTAATTATGCCAACTGACTCTTACTTATCGTAGCTTTGGAAATGTTTGTCTATACATAATCGAAAACCACATAAAAAATAAATTTATGAGGTAAAAAAAGGAAAAAGTTTCTTATGTCATATTCGATCTCCGATCCCTGCCAGTAGAGTTTCAAAATTTCATGAAAGAGGCTACCAGAGTTTCCAAAGACATTTTTTTTTTAAAATGGGTGTTTTATAAAAACCAGTGATTTTGAAGAATGGGTGTTTTTATGAAAGCCCTTTGAAAAATTGGGACTTATCAAGCATTGTGAAGATGGGGAATTTTTACTTGAAAGGCATTTTACATTTTTCTAAAAAGTGGGGGGGGGCGATAACAAATATTGTGTCTTTCAATCTTATATTTCTTGTTTTTTCTAGTCTTTTTTATGGGGTTGGGTATATGAATGTTTTTCACTTTGTTTACTTGGGCGTCAACTTTCCCTAATGATGTATGTACAATTTACAAAGGCATAATTTTCTAAGCATAACGATCATATGAAAATGGTATTGTATAATTAACCTTTAACAATGGAATGAAAATATCTACAGTTTAGTTGATTTTTCTTGACACCAGAATTCTGACAGTATATTTGATAGATTCAAATATCGATAATTAGGATTCTTTGTATTAAGGCTTCGAACGCACTGTGTATCCAAATATCAGTTCCGATTCATTGATAAGGATTCTGAAACATTTCGCATCGTTGTCTTTACGTCTTCTGCATTGTTACCAGACCCTCTATAAAGCAAGCGTAAGGGGGTTTTAAAGGCAATCTGTCACGACGTTGATTGATTATAAAAACAAAGGGATTTTTTATTGTTTCCAGTCCCTCTTTAATTTATCGCATTGTAAAGAATATGACGGAGCGCTGGAATCGTGTTTAGGCTATTGTTCCAGCTATTGTTCTCGTTAACCAATCCACAACGAAATAGCACTCTTTACCTTGGCTCACGCAGTGGGGCTCATACAGCTCTTTCTGTTCGACATCGAGCTCTACGTAACGATGATGACGACTGCGTTGTAAATGACAACGCAAATGAAGAAGATGACAATAATGACGACAAAAACGGTAGTTGCGACAAAAGTGAACGACGATTGACGATCTCTTTTGTTAATGTTGATCTCAAACGATTGAGCCCCCAATCAGGGGCCAAGCCATAAAATGGTTGGAGGGGTAAAGAAACAATTTTTGCCGACAGAAAAAGTCGTGTCTTACTTTTTGAGGGTGTGGTTAAAAGGTAAATAGTCTTTCATGATGCTTTTATGCGTTTCTATTTCAAAGTTCATACTTTATTGCCATACCATACAATTGTTGCAAGAAGGGTGAGAAAAAAATTCTTCTTTTGCCCGACAAAAATTCTTAATGCGCCGAAAGAGAAAAAATTAGGGTTATTGCCCCCATACTCTTTCGCGATGCCCCCTGCCCCAACAAGTTTATTCACACCGCGGTTCTTGTTGCGAACACGACGATGATTTTTATTGTGATGACCCATAGCAGCTGCGAAGGAGTCTGTCTTGTCCAGAACAAGGAATGGCGAGAAGATGCTAAGTCTGTCGTTGTCGTCAACTCTGTGAATTTGGACTTTGGCTTCTCACAATCGAACCATTTCATAAGAAAGGATTTAAAATATGCATAAGGATGAAAGTTTAACAGATATACCAGTCGTCGTTATCAAAGAAGTGTCTGAGCCTCCAGAAGAAGCTATGGGGAAGTTAGAGGATAACAAAGACGAGGAAGCGTATCAGGATTTTGTAACGACCTTTTTAGACAAATTATGCGAAAATTGCAAGAAGATGAGAGAGCAGATCATCATTAAAGCAAAGTGTGCAGGAGTTTTACCAGATGAAAACCTTGATGTTGAAAACTTTGTCTCAGAGTCCCTTGTAGCACTTATTCCTGAAGCACAAAGAAAAGTAATCGACAACATTCGACGACGAACTGTAAGTAACCGTGTTTGTTGTTGTGGCCTAATATTTCCATTTCCGTCTCTTACAACAAACATTATCCCTTTGCACAGCTCGTTGCCGAGGGAAAAAGCATTGAAGGAAAAACGTGCGGCTTTTTTTCCAATATATTAAATCTGTTGTGGAACTTTTTGTTGCACATATTCGACTTATTTTGCATTTCTCGCTCAGCAGGCTCTTCGCGTAAAATGATTGAGCGATGTTGGGCTGAAATGACTTGTGGTTACGTACCCAAACAAATACTAGTCAATAAACTGTCAACTGAATGGACTCTTGCACGGCCAATCTCTGCAATTGGCGGTGTTATATTTCACAATTAGTTGCAATAACAAATTAACCTGAGCAACGATATACACGTAGCTAGGTATAGATGCATTTTGTCTCCCGAACGGGAGACTTCTTCCGTTCGGGAGAAATCTCTCCTGTTCGGGAGAATTCAAATCGTTGGCAGCTCACATTTTTTCTCCCGATCGGGAGAATTCTTCCTTTAAATGGCTATTTTATGACCAAGAAAGAAAACGGGGGTTTATTGAAGAAAATATGCATGTCACCATTGGAAATTGCGAGTTATTGGAGAGTTTAGTTTTTGATGACGTCATTCGTGAGGTGTAGTTATTGTTCATGCCCTCTCTTTGGTGGCAGTACCACTAAGTCAGAGAAAACTACTAACTTTACTGTGTAATGTATGTGTGTATTTGTATATGTATGCATGTAGAACATTCTTGAATAATGTGAATCACAAACAAAGTTACAAAAACTTGCTTTCATTTTCAGTTTAATGAAGTTTCAGATAATATACTGTCTGTGAGGTAACCTCTACATTAGTTTTAAGCATTAGTTTTAGCAAAAAATATATAATATAGTTGTTTATAAAATGAAAATGGTTTAGCCAAAGCTCTGTCTCGATAGTCATTCTAATCCAAGAGTCCAAAAGGGATCAAAAAGCTAGTGAAACGCTGGTAACAGGTGTCAAAAATTGGTGACAGGTGAAACGGGGGAGGGGGTGTCAAAAATTCATATATTTTCGAAACTGTCATGGTTTGCATGACCCCAAAAATATGTCCAAGATAAAGTCAAACATTAGATTGCCAGAATATAGACTTCATCTGAACCTTTTCTTTCCTAGAACAATACCTATAACAATAGAGTATGACGTCATTAAAAATTCAAATGCAAATTCTGAACGATTTTCAATGGTGACCTACCATTTTTTTCATGGATATAAATGTATTTGACAGTGTAGATTTCAAAAACTATGTTTAAAATTCCCGTCAGATGTTCTTTGGTGCATTTTTGTGCAAAAAAGTGATATTTTCTGCCGATCAGGAGAAAAAGTAAGGATGATTTCTTCTCCCAATCGGGAGACATTTTATTGAAACTTCTCGTTTATTTCTCCTGATCTGGAGACAAATGCTTATGTCACTAGCTGACATAGCATTCATTGACCATTACTAATGTACCTCATCCGGCATTTTTAAACTATGCATTTTTATCAGCTTATTTGCCTTTGTTTGTTTCAATTGGAGTATTAATCTGATCTTTTCAGTTGATTGTGAGAGATTCAACCTTTCAGAGCCTTTTTAACATGACAAAAAAGGGTGCAATTGCCCCTTCAGCCTCATTGACTTTGGTCTGTTTTGAACAATAAGCTATTACCCTCCTCTTCATGTGAACAAAAGTTTGCTCACTGCTTATTTCCGAAAATGCTATGTAACTTGTGTTTTTTTCGTCACAATAATCCTCATAGTATATACATACTCCTGATATTCCTATATCTTTGTATTTCCATTTCTTTTCACCAAAATGTTTTGTTCACAATAATATTATTTTATATTTTAAGATGAGTGACATTGATTGGCAAGAGCTATCGATGTTCAACCCAGCAAGTCAACTTCTGTGCTTTGAAGAAAACTGCAGCTGCATGCCTGATAATTCATGGACAGAATATACAAAGCACAAAATTGTAAGTGCTCACTATCATGGACTTTATATTTTTGTATACCTCGGTTCCCATATATGTATTTACATCTTCTGTCTGTATTAAGGGGATAGTTTTGACTGGAACTTTAGTAACCTAATTAGTTAGTACCAGCACATTTTTAAGATCAAAAACAACATTTGTGGTACATCAAGGCACAGTGAGTCTTTACATGATCCATACATAGGGTAATTACCTGTTGAGAGAGGGTACTTGTCCTTGGCCATCATGAGGAGGTTGATAATCACTTTCCATGCTGCCATTTGTTGCTGCATGCAGGAGGGAAGCATCCAAATTTGGATTCTACCTTGTATCATATTACTCATTGCAAGATTCACAGAATCTGGCAGACAGCTTATCCAAAAATTTCTTCCTTCTTACATATAAGCATCAAAATCATGGATTTAACAAGGATTTGAACACACAGTCTGAAACACTCAGTCAAGATCATTCATCTCATGTTCACATTGAATTTCCTGACATATTTTAGCATTGAGACCACCATGGTACATTTTACAACCACCATTTTAATGACACTTTTTGTCTTTGAAATGAAAGTCATTTGGAAAAACTTAAACTCAATTATTTTGTCTCCTTCCTGTGTAGGCAAAAGCTTTAAAAGAAGGCCATGAAGAACTTGTTGTGGCATTCAGAGCCATGGAAAATGATATGCAGATTGCTGCAGAACAAGCAGGGAAATGTATCAAATGTGTTTTGAACACAGGGTGGAATGTTGTTTCTCACTGGGAGTTACCAGACTGGCTGAGAGATAATGAATTTCTTTCCCATGGTCATAGACCGCAACTGCCATCATTTAAGCAGTGCTTCAGCAGCATGTTCAGGTATAAATTTCATTTTTTCTTAGTTGATTTTTAACCTTTTAGATTCTTCTGAAATGCTAGTAAGTTATTAGCAAACAATTTTGTTTATGAACATTTGGTGCATTCAGGCCTTCCAGCAAGTCATAAATTCAAAAAAATTCTAAAATTTTGCCATTTTTTGCCAAAAGCATAAAATATTCCAAAAATATGACAAAGAGTCCTAAATGTTCTAAAATTTATCAATAATTTTAGTTAACTTTGGCAGTTTTAAATTCTATCACTAAATAAAGTGCAAATAGACAAGAAAATTTGTCATTTTTTCAAATTCTTATATTAGATTAATGATTCAGAACCTTCTACAGTTTTCAATTTTTCTTCTAATTGTCCTATTTCTTTTTCAAGGTCATTTTTTCAATGTCAGTTTTTGATTGTACCTTTTCCATGTCTTCTCTCTTTAAACCCTTCTGTGATTGGCAGTTTTGAAGCCACTTATTCCCTTCCTGTATTATTTCTGCTGCTACTCAAATTCCAGATTTCTTCAATCATATTTCTCTTTTTATCTCTTCAAGTTTTTCTTTCCTTGCAGTTTCTTTGCTCCCTGCATCAACTTCCTTGTCATGGTTTGTTTCTGCTGTGTCTCTTCTCCAAGTTTTGCTGATCTCTTTGCCTCCAAATCTGTAATATATTTTCTATGTGCATTCTTGGCTGAATGCTTTTATGCGTTTCTATTTCAAAATTCATTGTTTAGTGCCATACTTTGAAAGTTTAACTGCTACAGAAATGTTGATATATTGCAATTGTTTCAAAAAGGTTACAATTGAACTACGGGGTGAGGAAAGATTTCTTCTTTTTCCCAAAATTTATCAACAGATGCTGGTAGGCCTGTGCATTGCTTGCTTTGTGCCACATCCTGATACAGTGGAACCACCCCTTACGGCCACTTTTGTTAATACAGCCACCTTGTTAATACGGCCACATTTGTTTGGCCCAGAAAAACGGCTATACATAGTCTCATAAAAAAATCTGTTATTGCGGCCTCCTGTTAATGGGGCCAGCAATCACATATTGCGACCCCAAACAACAGGATTCTTTGTAATTCCACCCTGTGAATACAGCCATTTGTATTTAGCAAAACTGTAACAAAATCACAATTATCGCATTCATTTTACAAATGAACTTTTCACTATCAAAGTCGCTTGCTTCCAGGTGTAATTGCCCACACTCAAATTGACTGGCTGGTACGCAGAACGAATCAGTCAAAAGTCACTGATTTTTTTGCAAAATCATCAACATGATTTGGTGATTAAGGCGCAAGAACCCAGGACCTCCGCTTCATTTTGTTTGTGGACTAGTTATTTAACATATTTTTTATAACTTTATCTACATTTCCAGATGTCTATTAAAGAGAACAGTTCCTTAAAATGTTATTATTAATTTCTACTCCTTGAATTCCAAAATTTGACCCTTTCTATATGGCCAATTTTTGGTGGCCCGTTGGTGGCCGTATTAACAGGGTTCCACTGTATACACAGAATTGTCAAAATACTAGCAGAAAATGAACCCTTCTGTCTATAGACAGATCCACATCTATATTTCTACATTTTTATATGATCTTCAATTTCTTAGTACTTGATAATACGTATAACTATGGTGTTACTGGAATTTTAATTTGTATCTTATTGTTTAGGTTGCATACTGAAACTGGAAACATTTGGACACATCTTATTGGGCTGGTGCTTTTCCTCCTGGCTATGTTTGCAATATTTGCGCGACCTCTTATTTCACTCTCATTCAAATTTCCAAGTGGCTGGGCAGAGTACCTTGTATTTGGGGCCTTCTTTCTTGGAGCAATTTTATGCTTAATGTTTTCATGGTTATTTCACACCGTGTACTGTCATTCTGTCAAGGTTCATTCTGTGTTTAGCAAGTAAGTAATATTCTTTCCTTATTTTCTTAAGCATAAGAGAAAGTGTTTGTGTCCCGAGAGAAAGATAAGGATTGGGACTTTATTGTTAATCTAGCCATGATAATGGATAGAAAACGAGAAAAGATATACACAAAACTTTACACCATTTTCTAAAATAACACAAAAGAATGAAAACAGGAGGAAATGTGACAACCTACACAGGGGTACAAGGTCAGCTAGTCCCAGTTTTCGCACCATCTAGAAGCCTTGCCAAATATATGGTGTAGAACAAGAAGGCTCATTTCATATGTGAATGATATTCAGGGCCACATCTGATATTGTTCTCAGGGGCTCATGCTCCCCCCAACCAAAAATTATTAAAATAACTAGAGACTTACTAATGAAGACTTTGATCAAAACATTCAATACATGAAAGTGTTTTTCTTGATAACCTATCTTATTTTTATTCCACTTGAAATTAAAGCTTTTGATAGTATATATATATATATACATAAATTTATGTAAACTTGTGAATTTTTTCTGTTATGCTGATTTATGATCTTCTGTAAATGCATATTAGATTGTCACTATTTTTTGTTTCAGACTTGATTACTCTGGGATTGCTTTTCTTATTATGGGCTCTTTCGTGCCATGTTTATACTATGGCTTCTACTGCAGACAGCTCACACAAATTGGTTACTTGATTTCTGTGTTTGTATTGGGAACACTTTGCATCATAGTGTCATTATGGGATAAATTTGGCACTCCAAAATTCAGGCCTCTTCGAGCAGGTAAAAACTTTGCTTTTGTTAACATCATGCAAATCTTTTTTCGTATGTTTTCCAGTTACCCCACATTGTACATTGAATACAAGCATTTCAGGTTTGTGCCCAAGAAAACATTTTCTTGTTATATATAATTTTTTGCAGAAGAATATAGAGATCTTGAGTTTTGCTACAGATTTAGCTCTTCTTAGAAAGTCTCTCTGAAGAAAATATTTGGCTAACATGTTTCAAATTTATTTGTGCTTTATTTAACAGTTGCAGTTTTTTTAAGTTGCTATAATTTAGTCAAATATAATACAGCTTTAAAATGATTTTAATAGATTCAATAATCAACCAGAACTTGAATTAATATATATGAGATTATAACAATGTGAAATAGAAAGGCTTTGAATTTTGTTATAAAATTAGGTGATTTTAGTTTCAGTCCTGGTATTATCGCACAGAAAATGTTTTGACTGACTATAATGTCTGAATGATGTTTTGAATGACTATCCTTTTTTCTCTAATTTTCCACCTGTTTCTTTGTTAATGTTTTTAATCTTATCTGGTCTTTAAAACATTTCATTAGCTAAATTGATTAAGAAACATACAAATTGTATTTTATTTCAAAACATGAAATCTTCACCATTTTAGTACAACCAAATTAGTACAAGGTGTTGCATATTAACTTTTAAAAATTTGATGAAAACTTGTATCCATTTTGTTAAGTTGAACTATTTCCTCGAAACATCTAAAAGGCCATTAAAAAGTATTTGGCTAATTAATACATTGTACATTTTTTCAAACTGTGATACCCCCTTAAGTATTTTCACAAGTATATTTATTTTTTAAGGCTATCAGGTCTATAATATCAGTTGGCAAATCAAAATGTGCGATAACGGGCAGGCAAGCAAATTTCATATTTTCAGAATTACAGTTCAGAAGTGTATTTATTCATAACTCGATAGCATTGTTGTCAAAATAAACTATCTAAACATTCTAATGGTTAGAATGTAGTTTATGGGTGTGTTTGGCTATAGTTTTCTCTAATCATGGTTTTACTAAAAATGTGCATCTGATGTTTCAGGTCTGTTCCTTTGCCTTGGTTGCTCTGGTGTTGTTCCATCCATTCATATGGTTATAAGTCTTGGATTCACCAGAGGTGTAGAACAAGGAGCCCTTGGATGGCTTGTGCTTATGGGTGCCTTGTACATAATTGGTGCTCTTATGTACGCATTTAGAGTCCCAGAGAGGTTTTTTCCTGGAAAATGTAACTTCTGGGTTAGTGTTTATAGAAACTTATATGCTTCTTAACCCGGAATACATTTTAAAATCATATTATGTTATTGAATATAACTTTTTAAGCTTGAAAAGAAATATTTGACTTGACCAATAATAATTTAGTGGAAATTATGGAATCCGAATAGGATTGAAAGTGAGAATGCAGATAATAAAATTGTAATAGGAACCATTAAGTAATCCAAAATTTGTTTTATGAAATATTTTATAAATAGTTAACCTGTCCCCAAATTTCAGTTTCAGAGTCATCAAATCTTCCACATACTTGTTGTTGCTGCTGCTTTCATACATCTACATGGAATTTGTCAAATGGCTTATTACAGATTGAAGATAGGAAGAGTCTGTCCCAAGTAAAGTGCAATGTCACAGCCACAGTTCCTAACATAAATTTATGTTGTAGTGTGTATCGATATCATGTATGCATGTACTGATTTATCACATTTTTGAAAAATCTCAAACATTAAATCACTATTTGCGAGATGATTTTTATGTTACAGACATTGAGAATATGTGTGTTGAGTTTTTTCTTTCAATGTTTACTGTTGACTTAAAACATTATGTACCATGCTAAAATCTCAATTTGTTGTATTGTGGTATGTTGTATTGTCAAATAATTTATCAAATTTGATTCATGGTTGAATAGTTGAATTGGGTTTTAATTAGATGCCTTATTGATGAAACAAATAATTTATTTGACATCCAAGCTGCCTTAAAATCTCATGTATAAGTAAGCAGGGGCGGATCAAGAGCAAATTTGAAGGAGGGGCACTTGGTAGTTGGGGCGCTGAAAATTTTTCAAAAACTGGTTGCGAGAACAATTTCAGATACCTTTTCAGAATAAACAACATAACTTTGGGGTAATCCTTGAAGCAAATTAACCTATCGGTCCCAGAACCTTTTTCATCTGATTCTCATTCTTCAAAAGGGGTGCACAATTTCAAAAAAGGGGCACCAGACTTGCTTCAACTCGTTAAATCCGCCACTGTAAGTAAGGGTTTTTAGTCTCTACATGAATGAAATTGCAAAGACCAATTTATGTTTTTTGGAATTTAGAGATCATGACAACGGACATGTAAGGGAGCCAGTTTTGATACATGTTTTTGCCACCGTAGAAGTTGACATTTGAGAATAACAATGTTAATTTATGTGACCCGGTTCAGTGCAAATCAATTAGATTAGAAACAAAGTACCATATAAACACACCACAGCACTTTTTACAGATGACATTGCTCCTAGGAGATTATGAGGTGTGCCAAGATCGAGGAAGACAAGTATCCTTATCATTTGTCAAACACAAAATTTGTTTCACAACCCATCTGTCCTTCCAAAAGCCTTGAAATTTTTTAACACTTTGGCTTCACCCTTGTCTTACTTCCAGTGCCTTCTTTGAAACTGAAAACTAACTTGATCTCACCTTCTTCTCTTAGCATCTTCCTTTTGTGATAACATTTATATAGGCCCTTGAGGCCTTTTGCTAACCGAACCAACGCAACAAATACCTGTGCTTTGCCATAAATACTTCTTGCTTATTTCAGGTTACATGGCAATCATTGTAGACTTTCTTAACCTTTTTTGAAGTTAGAAAATAGATAGCTTTTATAAACAAACCCAGTTGTTGTGTTCTGGGTTTTCTTTTCTCTAGGTGGCCTATTTAGATTCACCACTGGGTATGTTTATTTTCTAACTAAAGCCAAGGAGAAAAGATTTAAATGAGCAATATTCCAACTATATAGCAGTCTTTTCCACAGTGAGGGATCTACTGTCTACTCAGATATGAACAGCCTTTATAGAAACTGCTAAAATTTCCTACAAATAAAAAACCACAATTTTTCCAAATTTATAAGCAACAAAAGCGTTTTCTGAATAGTTTTGCCCAAGCGCTGTTGACAACCCTTAGTAGCTTAGATAGCTTTAGTACCTTAGTAACTTAAAAGCTGGGGTTGCGGAGCATATTACGAACTGAGGTGACCAAAAAGTTTTAGGTGCTAACACTCATCAATGTCTACCCTGGGTACCAGAGCCGCAAAAATTAAAAAATAATATTAAAAATAACGAGAGCTGCAGAGGCGAAGGAGAAAGGAGAGATGAGAGAAGAAGAAGAAGAGAAGAAGATTTACCGACAAAATCAAGAAGAATTGGGGGTGTTAAACCCGTACCACTATATCCGCGAGCCACGCCCCTGAAAGCCGGTGTCGTATAAACGATGTCTTCATTCATTGGATTTGCAGCTGTACATGATGATAGCCGTATGTTTTAATTCTTCGTAATAATAGTCTAGTCAAATTGGAGTTGGTGAGCGCAAATCACATTTGTTTTCATTTGAATTTGGCAAGAGAAAATAACATTTCATGGACTTCTAGTGGTTTGAAGAACGGAGTGAAAAGGGCAAGTCAAAACAGCATATCATCAAGCGACATTCGAAACAGCAATCACTGCCAGGTGTCTGGAAATATCGTGTATTTGTTAGCATTTGTTGTTAAATTTGCATCGATAATTTTTATTTGACTGCCTAGTAAAATCTCAAATGTTGGGTCATTATCATAGGTCTCGAAACGGATGTTTTGAGTGATAAAAATCTCTGGCAGCTTGTCAATGAATGGGCAGAATTAGTTTCTTCTTGAACAAGTTTGAAGCAAAATGCTAGGCCACATTCGTAAGCGAGTTCAAGTACGGCGTCAGAGTTCTGTTGAATTTTGCAAGAACAGCACTGCAGTGTCACCATGCAGCTCACCTTTGACAACTCCAACTAACGAACTACCTCCAATGTTTCCAGTATTCAACGTAAATGAAGATACAATGGGTGAAGATGAGCAAATGGATGTCGAGGAAGTCTACAAAACACCTACTCAAAAAGCCATTCCTGTATCTCAGTTTCATATCACTGACACAAATGCAGATGCAGAGCCTTACAAGAATACAATAAAGTTAATCAATGACCTGAAGATTAAAAGGAACAGTATAAAAAAACAACGGCTTAGAAAGTCGAGATCTGGTTCTGGTTCGAAGTCTGAGAAAGACCATCAAAACCAACACATGAATTATACAAGAAGGGAATATTTCCTGCGCTCCAGTTCCACAGACAAAATGCCTGATTCATAAAAGCTGTACATTTTGAGAAACAGTATTTAATTTTTGACCTAAAAGTAATGATAATTTGATGCTGGAAGTGGTAACGATCTAGCAAGGTTGGTAACTATTCTTTGGACACTCTAAAAATTTGAAGAACATAATGATTTTGAGAATACAACGAAGACAAATAGCCTTAATACTAAAATATGTCACAACACCCACAAAAATCAATGATGAATACACTGCACCACCACATACCCTTTAAGCCTTGTACATTTTGCATGGTTTGCACAAATTTGAGTATTCAGAACAATAAAACCTACAATTGAAATAATATGACAAATAAAATAGAACAAGTGGTTCATGCATAAACTTGACAGTGTGCACTCCTTTGACAACATCCCATTAATTCCTCTTGGTGATAGTTATTTCTTATCTTCTGTTGAAGCAAAAATAGGTGGTTAGTTTACATGTAAACTTTGAGATCAAACCTACAGTTGTTGGTTTTCATGAGTTCTAACAAGATAAAATGAATAGTTCCTTATTTTATCTTGGTTCTAGTAATGATGGCTTAGTCACTATGTGTCACCTCCACTTTCCTGCTATTTTTTTATTTTGATCTATTAATCTCGAAATTTGTTTAGTTTTTTGTAGTATAAAAATTAAAAATAGCTTTTTGACTTAAGCAAACATTTTAAACATTCTTAAACTTTTCATCTGACACTCTTCAGAGTACAATATTCCTGATATTCTGAAAAGCTTAAAGACACAGTGTTCATAAATCCAAGTTATTTGAAAATCACTAAATTGTTGAATTATCCAGGCTGCTTGTGAAATCATGAGTTGCAGGTTAATGCTACTCCATTTTGTTGTGGTGTTTATCAAACTTAGCTGCATCATAAAGATATTTATTGTACTATTTAACTCTATATAAATAAAACTTTACCATCATTTGTTTTATTCAGATTTTGAAAATTATATAAACATGTCTCTGCATCTATTTTAGTTTCAAAATTTCAACTATGGCTATTGATTTGTCTAAATGCATATTTTTGTAATTGTTATTAGCAAACATTTTTAAAGGTAAAGAGATATCAACAAACATAACTTTACTAGAATTTAGTTGCCAATTAGTGTAATTTTATTCCCTTATAGCTTTTATCCATAAATGCTGAACAAATGTACTTCAATCCCCCCAAGAGTGCCCCCTCTTGTGGATTTAGGCTTTGAAGAAATGAACCCTCTCTTTCAATCCACCAAAACATTATAATCTGTGCTCACCATGCACATTTCATCCTTTCTAGGGCCTAACTTTGGAAACCTTGAAGAAGAAAATGGCAAGAAAGCACCGGCTATTTCATTGAATTTCTTTCACTATTTTTGCAGGCCCTCCTTAGAATTTATAGCCTTGCCATTGCCAATTTTTCTTCAAAACTGATAGATATACTATGGCTGCCTCCCCTGATACTCTTCCCACAGACAAAATAATTGCAGGTTTAATGCCAAGTTAGATACATTGGACATGGAACAAGTGTTGTGGAAAAATGATTCGAGATATTCATTTTTACCTGGAACACACTATCTGAAAGTTTAGTTACAATACAATTTATGTTGCCTAACCTATTTAGTACTCAACTTATTCTTTATGGTATCACTGAGGCCACACCCAATTGTCTTTGATGCAAGATGTCTGAAATTTTATCCCCCTACCCCAAGTAGTTTTGCAACCATTTGATCTCATATCAATGAGTCTTTAAGCATTGAACAAGTTCCTTTATGCAGCCACGTCAATTTATTATTTTTCAATAATTTATAGCATAAAGGAACTGCTTATTATTTAAATGTTTAGTGTCTAAGACAGAACTATTTATTTTTATATTTATTGAATGATTAATCTGTAAAAATGTATATTTATACTTAATCATAATCTATCTATCAAACTGTTTGTTTTTAACTCTTGCACTGAAACTTACAGCTTGAAAAACAAAATTTTATGTGCAAATAATATATTGCAGCAGTGCGGTGAGAGGGTAGCAAGAGGGGCAAATGCCCACCAATGTCAAAAACTCATTTAGAAAAATGGGCATCTTCTGGCATTGCAAAGGGTTTTGGCCCCAATTTTTCCATCACTCAGCTTGTCTTTACCCCCCCCCCCCCTCTGTCTTACTACCCTGGCTACTCTAGTGAGGTATGCATACTCCTGTCCATTTATTTTGGGTATCTCTTAAGTTTTCGACAATAATGTTTTTTGAAAGTCATTTAATATTTTGATTTATGTAAACACTGTATGAAACTTAAATCATTGATACCCAGGGTCCATCCAATAGCAAAGTGCTTTCTTGTTAACGTGATTCATTATATTGCTTACAAGAATAATTTTGTCTTGTTATGTTTATGTTGTATTCTGAAAAAGGGGCATTCAAAATTATTTCCTACAAATTATCCAAAATTTCAGCACCACCCCTTCTAACACATTGTCACAAACTGGCTGTTGTTTGTAGCGTAGCAAGGGGTGCAAGAGGGGGCGGACGCCCCCCTTTCCAATGGCAAAAAATATCTTTGAAAAGGGCGTCTTCTGGCATTCCAAAGGGTGTGGACCCCCATTTTTCCCTTGTCCTAATCTCCTTTGCCCCCTTCCCAGTCATCGTGTTCTGCTTAATGGTACATGGATGGTAGGGGAAAGACAAAGTGAACCTTTGCATCATCCTGTCCAAAGTTTTAGCATTTTGTCGCATGAACTACAAATAACAATGGCTCATTCTTTAAGATTTCCTGTGAAAAACGTATAATTTTAGATGTTTACTTTTCAGTTAGATAAAATTTTGTCAGATGAAATGTCATTTTAGGCCTTGCTTGGGCAATAAGGGCTTATTGCTTCACGTAAAAAGCAATAAGGGCTTATTGCCCAAAGTTGTCTTTAAGCAAGGTTCAACAAATCGCATACGCCTATTTTTCGTAACTGTTTTTAAATATTTCCCTCCGTGCCGTTACTTGAAAGGGGGCCTATTATAGGTTTGCGGCTTCACGGCTTGGACCCTATTTTTACCTGCGGCCTCCGGATTTAAACATGGTTTATCTGCGTACTGCGGTTGCGTACTGCGGTTTCAACAAAAGGTGCGTCTTGCGTCTTTCGGTATAAATTCGCAACGGTTTACGGCTTCTATAATACGGTTGCGGCTTTCAAATGAAAGACGGTCCACGGCAAGGCTTTTCACTTTACACCAAAGGTTTTGAAAAGAGCTCCATGTCGAATAGGAGTAACGTAAGAATGGACAAGCTACTGTCAGTCATTGCTGTCAGTTAGAACATGAGTGGGAGAGGGAATGTAAACAATAGTGCCCATACCAAAGACTAAAGAGGTAGGATAACACAGTGATATAGTGTAACTGGTACCTCTATGGCCCAGCCACGTAGCTGCAGGGGGGGGCACGGAAGGCTGTACCCCCCAAATGAAAATTTTGACAACAGCTTGCCCCCTCTGGCTACAGTTTTTTCAAATGATATTTTGAAAATTTGGCATATTTATAATTCCATGACCTTGATTTTGTCCAAGTATATCTGTTTGTTATTTATCTGTTTTCTTGTTTTAAAGCCTGCCCCCCTTAGCCTGCGTCACAGAGCCCCCCTCAGGTATGGTTCTTGCTCGAGTTTGCCCCCCCCCTAGCCGACACCTACAGCTACGTGGTTGCTATGGCCGTGTAAGCAGGACCGTACCTCCCACTGGGTCAACAAACAAATAGGATCCCCAAGAAATATTCGGTAGTTTTATATTGTGTCATAGGGCTCTCTTACACGAGTCAAATGTTTTCGAAGAATATTGTCTCCGCAAGGCGGACAAAATATCTACGTACAGTTTTCAGAATGATTCATGGGATGGTCAGTCCCAATTAATTCACAATAATAGGGGTTGACGTAATATTCATGACTAGGGAATTTTCAGAAGATAATATTTACAGACAAGGCAACTAGATATAACTGAACTGGATATCATTGAAAAATTTGAAACAATGAATAAACCATCAATCCTAATGTTGTGGACATGGTCTTGCAAAGCGAGCTGGGCCAAGGTGACAGTTGGGCCCAAAAAATTTTGAAGGCTGAGGTTTTATATGGTATCACAATCCGCTCGTAAACTTAAGGGGCCGCGCAACATACTTAAAAAACAAAATTACAACCAACTTGTGCTTTAACAGGTTTTTTGAACCAAGCTTTACATTACTTATCACTGCGCGAATGCACAACCTTTACATGTATGTACAA